ATTCGCCGCTTGCCAGAGAAGCACTTACAATCAGACCTCAAGTATTATAGGAACTCCCTTATGGGTGCTATTCGGGAATTCATTGATCTTGCCCAGTGCAATGAAAGTCAATTCGAGCAAGTCTCAGAAAATAGCTTTTTCCTTTCAGTAAGACAATAACTTGGATAGCTGGTGGAGAGTCCTTTGGTAAAACTGCATTTGCATACATGTGCACAGTATGAGGAACATACAGAGAGCAGGATTTAAAGTAAACTAAGGCTAAAGTCTTCAGTCATTCAGAAAGATGAATACTCAATTAGACTACTTAATGAGGAGATTATATGGAACATGTCACACAGTAATTAACTACAAATAATGAGCCACATAATAGTTTAGTCTCATATCCAGTCAATAGTCGTCCTATAGAAGAGCTAGCAAACATCAAATGTAGCCTAACCCCAAATTCAGTGCACAGAGTTCTACAGCCACGCTAGCAGCTCTGTGAAGCTGCACTTAGCAGTACTTTGAGCTAAATGCTAACATCTGCATGCTAACATGCTCACAATGACAATGTTAAGATGCTAATGTTTAGCAGTTGTGATGTTTGCCATGTTCACCATTCTATCATATGCTAATTAATACGGATACTACACACAAAGTACAGCTAGTGCTGATGGGAATGTCGAGCAGATATTTGGTCATGAACCAAAGTATTGGACAAGTGGAAATGTTGACCTGATGAGAAAGTCTGGGGGTCACCGAAGTTATTACAATTCCTCCTGAGGGGAGTCGGAATGTATGTCCCAAATTTCAGACATTTCCCTCAGTGTTTCTCAATTCATGTCAACTTTATATTGCCACTTCATGAAAAGTCAGGAGATCACCAAAGTCATTAGAATTTTCATCCAGTAGTTGTTGAAGTTTCCAGCGTGGAGCGAAGCGGCCGACTGACCGACATTGCCATCCCCGGAGCCACAGCGCCAGCATGGCTAAAAGAGCAGAATCATAGAACCTCTCTCTGCGTCTCATGGGAGGTCTCAGCTACTTGTTTTTTTCTAGTTATTTACAGATGATTTAATGGACGAGTGTGAAAATTGATGATGATTTTCATTCCAATTGCAGCGAGCCCCACCGCAGGAAGTGGCGTGTCCTTTGTCTAACGAGGCAGAAAGTAAGAATGAGGAGGTGGTGAAGAGTTCACTATTTCTTCACAGGCGTACAATTAATATTGGCGTTCCTTTTTTGAAAGTGTAACAATGGTCTTTTTCAGAGACTTTTAGTTGCCGGATTTAAACCATTAACCATAATTGGCACTTTATTATGTGTTATTATTATTGTAGAAATCAATCTTTTTTTGTGTGTGTCGGCATTGAAAGTTTACATTTGAGCAGACCTGTCAATCATACAGTGATGTCCCAAAACACACAGCTTTTTCCACTTTAATATCTTCTTAATGGAGCAACAATTTTCCAAATGTTACCAGTTTACACATGATGGCGAGTGAAATTTGGTATGACCCTGGGTTATTGTGGGGAAAAAAATATTTCTAGTGATGAGGAAGATTTTTCCACTGAATTAAATCAAGTCAGAAGTTCTGGTGTCAAAAGGTAGGCTTTCACGCTGGCTTCCACACTCACAGCTGGATGTTTCTCTCTCCAGACGTCAATCAAACAGTGTCTTCATACATGTGAGGTCGTCTTTGGATTTTTTCTCTTCCTTAAGACACATCAGCCATGTCTCAACCCATTGCTTCCCTTTCACCTGGCAGACCTGTTGGACATCCCGGGGTTCAGAGCAGCAAACATAGATTGAATAACTATTATGTTATAGGGATCAGTGATTAAATTATGCAGGTTCATTTACTTTTTGTTTGCTCTAAAGGGCATCCAGACATGCACCCACACAGTCACAATTTAGCACTGCACTTAATTCAGCTTTGACAGAGAGGAAGCAGCGGGAGCAGACGTGACTCTGTCTGCTGCCCTGATTCTGCGCTCTCATCTTATTTCCCCTGCTGGTCGTCATTTATTGGGGCTTCATAAAGACAGAATGAACGAGATCTCAGCCAGGCAGTATTAACCGCCCGCCTCCTCCGAGACAACCAAAGTCAACTCTCTCCCCTGCTTTCCCTTTCTAGACACCCCCCCTTCGACCCTTCTTTACCTCTTGTTGCTTTTTCTCTTATCTTTTTTTTCCCTCTCTCCCCTCTGTTATCCTCCTCTCCCCTCTAAAGAAACAGAGGACTCTTATCGCAGTTTAATCTCCAGCTGAGAGTCGGCAGTGTGGGGCCAAAGCCAATGTGACTTTGTCGTTTATTCTGTGTCGGGGCATCTTAGAGGACGGCCGAGTGTTTGTGTTGAGAGTGGTTGGGGTGATTGAGTCGCCAGAAAAGCCTCCAGGCGTAGAAAAACAGAGAAGAGGAAAATAAAGGAGAGGGAGAGTGATTTTTCACAACAAGCACAATTCAAACATGGTAATCTGATGCCCTGAGATATTTGAACACATACCCACACAGACAGGCTGCAGGCGATGGGAGGTGGTGTCTGCTGTAAGGGAGAGTGTGTGCAACCCGTAGCGTTATCCAAGCACTGCTGTGCTCTACCTACTGTGACAAGTGCTACAGCAAGGAATCCAAATAATATGCAAGAGGAAAACTAAAGGACAGGATGGAGAGAAGAAGAGGAATGGGAATGAAACTCCTGTGGAAACTCATGCAGACTGCTTCTCCAAAGGACCGCAGTAGGTAGAGGGCGGGGAAAAGAGTTTCAGTGATACTATGGTGAGGAAAAAAGAAAAAGGAAATAATTACAAATGCTACAATCTGCCTTCCTTCCATCCCCAGCTTGAAACCTCACCATGCAGAGAAAGAAATAAGAGCCAGAGTCGGAAATGGCCCCACAGGTGGAGGAAAGAATGAAAAAAAGCACTCAGGATAATAAAGAGAGGTCAATCCCATTCAGAACAAAGACGAGGTGTCTGTGATATCCAGGTCAGATTCTCTCCGGAGGTCTGAATCTCTCCTCTTTATGTTTTCGTAATGGGCTTTTTAATTTGATTGATGGGTTGCCTGTCAAATCCTCTGGTTCCCGAGGGGAGGGCTCGACACATTTTATAAGTTACATCTTCTAACTCATAATGGACGGTCTGAGAGACGTGAGGACAGAAAAGGACTTGATCTGTTTTGATATAATTTGCTCTTGAAAGGAAGGATGAGGAGAAAGAGCACCAAAGCCCCGTCTAAAATCATAATACACCCAGTGGTTTACTCTATAGTGAGCACTGTATGGACATGTGTAAACTTGGGAATCAACGTCATTGTGCGTCATCAAGAGTATATAAAATGTGACGCAAGGTGGATTAGGAAGTAGATAAGTCTCTGTGATTGGCGTGCTGGCGTTCTAATGTCGACGACAACCTCTGTATTCTCATTTAGCCACTTGTTGGCAACCGCCTTTTTTAAGACAAGTAAAAGCTTCAAAATCCAAAGGCGGCGTATTTGCTGACGTTTTTTATGTCACAGCACAAATCAAAGCTTGTGTCAACCACAGACCTTATTTCAGTCATCTAACCAAAAACCTGTTGACATTGAGGCGAGGGAACTGGAGGTGCTAAAATGTGAACTCATTTTGAGGTTTAAGGACTCATTCCTGCAGCACTCTATGTTGTAAATAGGGTGTGGTTGTGGACACAGCCTTATAGCACGTTCACATCATTTTGGGTAGTTGGAAGAGATGGAAATCATGTTAATGACCAGAAAACATTCAAGCCATCTGATGACTCAAGAATCCAATATGACATGAACGTGGAATAAGAAGGTACATTCACTCTAGCAGCTCTGTGAGCTAAAGGCTGACGTCAGCATGTTAGTGTGTTGAAAGCAGCAACAAGGAACTTTTTTCTTTTTTGTCGATTCTAGGGACCCCTGTGGATAAAAATGGTAATGATTCCACCAGCTCATTTCATTCATTTAAAAAGCAATCCAACCCAATCTGACCTGGTGGTAGGCATTAAGAATAACAATGTAAAAATAGCTTCTCAATGATGGTTTTGTTTGTTTATTAGGTCATATAGACTGTTTCATAACCAGTTAAAAACTCCATGTTTTATATTTAACAGGTATAATGTAACATTTGTTAATTAGCACTAAACAAAGTACAGGAATATGATTAGTTTATTGTTTTTTTGGTCTTAAACCAAAGAAAATGCCTAAAAGATCTAGATAAAATGCCAGGGAAATCACCAAAGTTATTAGGATTATCCTCTGGATATCATGGATATCTGTACCAATTGTCACGGCAATCCATTAAATAATTGTTATATTAAAAATAAATAAAATGACAACATCCTGATGGTGGCGCTAGATAAAAGTCAGGGAGTCAGGAAGCACCTAATTTACGACCCATCCATATTGTATCTAGCCGTTTGTTTTTCAAAAATATTTTCTGCACCCAGTGAACCCTGGTGTCAGGTGTACTGTATATTTCAGATGTATGATGATCTATCCTGTTTCGAAAGATTTACAGTATAAGCAAAATCAATGGAACACAGAGATTCTGAAGCACATTTTCTATCACATCATTACTGGGACATAGCACTCATGTCTGAAGGATTCACTGGTCTGGCACTCCCTGGGACAATTTCAGTCTTTTCACATGGATGGAAAAGTGAGTGGATATGGACGGGTGATTGTACTCCTGAAGCTGAGCTTTGCATCTTCCTGTCTCGCGTCAGGAAGGGATTTCTGACAGTAAAGTCTGTAAAGTCAATGCTTATTTCTTTCTTATCTTTGTCAAAGTCCTCATCAACATCAATGTGAAAAGACAGAGGGGAAATCAAACAGAAGACGGCACATTGTAGCTACAATAATATTTAAGTCTCATATGTGCTGTTTTTGATCTTTCAAGTTCTCTTGTGGTGACGTGAACTTAAGATAAACCTAAAACTTGTTACAACTTTCAAATCCACAACTTTGAGGGTATATGGGGATAGGGAAGGGGAATGAAAACATCAGACAAGCCAGATTTAGCAAAAAACATGTTTAATCTCTCCTTGATGCGTGTCTATTTACACGTAATAAATCTGCAAAATAGGAAAGAGCAGGATATTTACACGGGCGTGAAACAGCCAAAACCTGTCACAGCAGCTTCAAGTCTGAAACTCTTAAAAAGGTATCAGAATTCATAAAGTATTAAAACTCTTTAAGGTATTTTTTTTTTTTCTTTCTACCTCTCTCCTCTTTAATCTGTGTGTGTGAAGGTATTTTATGTCCTATGCTCCTTCTCTGAAATGTACTTTAATCAAAGTGAACACTGCAGGTGAGGAAGCTGGAGAGAACTGGAGGGATGAGAAACTTCTGAGTGTTGCTGTTGGGGGGGGAATCAAAAGTAGCAGATGAGGGGAAGTATTAAGGTTGTGCGGTGGTGAGGAGGTGTCATGTTGGAGGGTGCAGCCCATACTGAAAAATATGTACATTTAACATACACTTCCAAACAGATTTGCAAATGGCTTTCATATATACCATTTTTTTTTTTTTTTTTTTTTTTTGGGGGGGTGGTGGACGCCCTCAATCACTTTCTTGCTGAGAGTGAGAGGAGAAGATTGATACCACTCTTAAATCGTATGCTAAATATGAAGCTAGAGTCAGTTAGCTTAGCGTAGCAAAAAGACACAGGGAAACAGCTAGCCTGGTTCTGTTCAAAAGTAAAACAATGAAAATGTAACGTGAGCTTCTTTCTGCGGTCTTTATGATACGTTAGCGGTCTTCTTGGTCTAGCTTCACTCATTTTTCAAAATAAGAAATGGGCCTTTTCACTTTGTTTTCAAGGGTTCTTATGTCTGTATGTTGAGTACATAGCTGGAGTCGTAGTTAGCTTAGCTCAGGTTAGCAAGACTGAAAGCATGAGTGAAGCACATTAAGTGAAAAAGAAATGACCATACTTACCAACAACCTGGAAGTTGTGTGTTTTAATTTGTGACATGAACAAAAAAGGTAAAAATATATAAATAATGTATGATTCTAGGGGAAGTTATGTGTTTGAGTGCAGCATGAGCTACAGTAGTTCCAGCATTAAACCACAAAATATTTTTACATTTTTGCTCATGTAAGGTTACATAAATTAGATACAAAGTGTTATTTAGTCAGTTTTAGAGGTGTCAGTAGGTGTATTTTCACCATTCCCTTTGTACATACCTTTTCCATGCTAAGCAATGCTAAAAATGTCCTGACTGGAGCTCAGTACTTAACACACAGACGTGAGATTGGTTTCAGTCTTCTCATGAGCATGTTTCACAAAATATTGCACTATTTTTCATCTTAAATGATGATGTCAGAATGCATATTTAAATATAATTATTTGTCCTTTTTTTTTTTTTTTTTTTACACGTACCTATGATCATACCCTTTAGGTGTATGTAAAAATACCAAATTTTTAGTATGGGAAGAGGCTGACAAGGCACAGTGAACAGCTCTGCGTCAGTCAATTGTTGAGAGAATCTCTCCCTCCACCTCTTTCCTTCTCTCACTCCACCCTCCACCCTCCTCCCTCCTCCCTCTCTCATCACTGTCTTTTTCTATGTGGAAGTTGAACGCCACAGATGCAACGGAATGGAAAATGAAGCGGTACCGTGGCCTTCAAAGCGCTTCCTCTGCCTTGCCCAAGTCTTTTCATCTTTTACCCCAACAAGTGGTGAAGCAGAAAACAAGAAGCAAAACTAAGAAACAAAAGCACCAGAGACCAAGTGGGCCTTATCTCGCCATCTTACAGAAGTTTTTTTTTTTTTTTTCTCACTCCCTACAAAGTGGTCCTTGGGGTCACTAACTAAACCTCATTACTCATTCCACATCACTAAAATCATCTTTACAAGTCTTCATCAAAAGAACAATTGAGCAAGTGAATAGCGGTCAAACATAAATGCAGTGGTCCACATCCTCAGACTGTTTCAAACATTAATACTGAGCAGAATGTGTTAATGAGTGCATGTTCATGGAAGTAACAATGCCTCAATTTCACCATTCATCAATCAGAAAGACTAACACTCAATACCTTCAATGAGGGGGTATTTAAATGACTAAAATTAGTGCTAAAATCATTTTGTGGAAGAACTGAAAAGCAGATGGATCAAAGGTGATCTCTCAAGGAGCTGTTCTCCTTATGTGGATGAATTAAGCTTTGGTCAGCCGCCCTGTATGTTGTTTTACCCTGTGTAGATCAGTGGTTCAAGTATTGAAGCACATACAGTACGTTTCATTCTGTCCAGACACATATTTATGCTGTCAGAAAACAGAAAAACCCGAAATCTATCAAGAAAGATCAAGGAAGAAGAATCAAGTTTTCACCTGATAGTAACAACATGTGTTTGGTTGAGTGGCATAAGGTTTGTTTTAGGTCTGGTAATTATATTTGAAATCATAGTTAACACCCAGACAAAGTGGAAGGATATGGACATGGGAGATGGCTCAAAAAATCTGCTGAAGAATGTGTGTTACCAGGTCTAAGTTTGCCATATTTTCTACATGAAGTGTCACTGTCGGCCATGGTGGAGGTCTTAGACGCTTCAACGACAGAATGTTTATGTCCCAACAATAAAGAATATGCAATGTTCAATTCTATATTTAAATATACTTGGGAGTCATTCAATTATTAAGCATTCTGATTTTTAGACTAGAATGTTAGCCTTATCTCAGTAGCTAACATCAGCTACCATGTGGCTAGTACCTAGCAATGCCTCATAGTCAACACTGTGCCATGAAATAAATAATTCAGGTTATTTTAATGTAACATTTCATAAGCATGTGACTTAGATTACTGCTTAAGGACACAATCCAAAGGGGCTAAGGTGTAATTCACCACAAACGTAGGTGACTGAAACTCACCAGTCGCACCAAATGCAAGAGTCACACTTTCATTCCTGCTGTTAAACAGCTGTGACTGAACAATTATCACTTGGGATATGTCAGTTAGTGGTCCATCTGGTGCTTTGTAAGTGTTGCTCACACATTTAGTCTGCTAGCTGCTGGTCTTCTTTGAATATAACTGATCATTTTGTTTTAAATCACCCTTGCCTATAGATATTCATTTTTAGCTGAACAATTTTGCAACTGTGACAACGAGCACATAAAACATGTTGGAGCAATGCCAAAAAAAGAGCTCTTTATCGTACATGTAATTGTAATTTAAACATGTACAGTACATATATGTATTTTTTTTTCGATTGGCTTTTTAAACTTACAATAAATCCTTGAAGCATGTGAATGTGCCATCAAAGACTTGAAATGTCTTTGTGTCAGCTAGTTTAGGATTAGCATCTACTCCAATATTGGCATGTCTGAGGCCATGGATAATAAGGAAAACGGTGTGGGCAGGTCTTATTGCAAATGGATTATGACTGTGCTTGAAAGTATTTTGAGTTTCACCTTTGATCCACTGGATTGTACTGAAGAGCATTACTCCCTGCAACCACAATGATCCATCTCCAAGATAGAAAAACTCAAGAAAGTAAGACTGAGGTTTAAAATAACTGACATCTTTCAATTTCCTCCTCTCAGAGTATCTTAGTAAAGGCTCTTGGACAACCGAAAAGATAACTCAGAAGGTTTTAGAGACTTTTAATTTGAAAGAAACCTACCAGGCCTTTCACAACAGCCCTGGCCTTTAAGGTTCCTGATGCACCTGCAAAGCTCTGCTATCTGAACTGGACTGAACCAGAGGAAGCTAGTGTCGACTGGTTTGAGGCATCTCTCACAGGGAAAACAAATCTGAGGGAAGCGCTGTTGAAAAGGAAGAAAAAGAAAATGATTTTGAGGCATCTGTAACTGTTTCCTTTAAAGTCGTATTGTTCTAAAAGGTGCACTTGATGGATTTTAACCTGCTTTCTTCTAGATCAAAACAAACAGGGACAAGAGGGATGAGTAGAGGAGTTCTTTTCTTGAACTCATCCATCTGATCTGACTGTTGATGCATCTGGTCGGGTGCTCTACATTTCAAAACAAGCTCTTACGGGATGGACGACCACATAAAGTATATTACCCTGGTTTGTTGAACATGTTTTTTCTGTATTTTCTAGCCTTTGTTATTAGCTTTGTACCCTTTTTACAGTCACAGGGGAAAGGAATGTCTTGTTTATGAATGCATGTTTGATTTTTTTGAAGCACTGCAAGTTAATGTGGAGCAGCACATACTGGAAGGAAAACATTTTAGTTTTTTTTTTTTTTCACCCCTATAAAATCACAAAACGAAAAAAGAGAAAGGCCTTCAACTGGTACAAAAACACTCACATAAATCAAGCTACATTTCATTATCTTTTTCATAAACCACATTCACATTTCAAAAATGGAACCATTAGCTTTACCACCTTTACTGCAGACTAGAAAACAAGCCAAAAAAATTAAACAATACTGTTTCAACTTCTGCACACCAAAACTGGCCTTCATTTTGGATGGCACACGTTATGAAATTTTTTAGACAAGAGGGAAAGTCTAGAAAACAAGACCGAGAGCACAGTGTGCCAGGGTTCAACTTAAACGACTGCCTAGTGCCTCTATAGTTGTCTGCTACCACAGCATGAGGCTGGCTTCCACAGAAACGACTTTTGTCTCATCTAAATCAGTTGACCAGGCCTCGATGTATTTGGTTTCTCTAAAAACAAACACAAAAGCACTGTAGGTCGGTTGGCTCACAGGCGACTTCCAGACATCATTTGTCTCTTGACTACCTTTAGAGCCAAACATGTAGCACACATCTGCCCCAAAGACCTCATGAAATATAGAAAGTGTCTGTAATATATATATAATTTTGCCATTTACCTATTTTTAAACTCTCACTTTCAGTCACTAAGTATGACAACATTTTTATCGTAGCACATTTCATCTAACGAAAAGAAGTCTCTTTGCACTAAACAACATTCAAAGTAAAACATGGCACAGGACGACTTTTTCCTTGTGTTTTCATAAGTTTTCATCTTGGAAATATCAAATCCTCTTCTCAAACGTATCTTTTGTACATTAAAATGGAAAACATTTTTTTCAACGTTTCATTTGTTTTAAAAACAAAAGGTTTGTATTTATATATCTATATATATATATATATTCATATATCCTCTTCTCTCTTTTGATTTAGCTTTGTTGTGCAAATTCAGCAGTAACACAAGTGGCACAGCACTGGGGAGAGTAGGCAGTTGGGAGGGAAAAATGGAATCAAATGCAATAACAAATCAAATGCAGAGTTATGAAACTGAAAATATCCTTTGTTAGACTACAGTGGAGTTCTTGTTGATAGAGAGTTGGAGAGTCAGTCCTGGAGGAAGAATTTCCCTGCAAAGTCCTTCCTCCTGGTTGCCCTGCAGTGGCAGCAGCTTATGTGATGCCAAGTATTCACACTGCTGAAGTGTCTTTGAGCAACACGCACAATCTCTACCAGCATCATGGCTGCTGCTCTGTAGCTGTCCCTGACCTCTGACCTCCCTATGGAGGACGGCAACAGAAAAGAGAACTCCTTACAGGGATCAAGTATCGCAGTAATATATCCTGGATTTTTATTGGTTCACAGTCTGAACCATAGTCTTAGCTTTGGAAAGCTACTAACTGGCGGCTTGTGCCTTTCCCGTAGCATTCCAGCTCTGTATCTGGCTAGAGGAGTTTTTGGTCACCACTGTGCATGTACTGGTCCTGATTGTGGCCAACTGCTTCTTCCGTAGGACTCTAGATGTGATGAGGGCCTTGATGAAAATAAACGCTCTCCTGAGCTGAGGTCCATATCGTCTGAGGCTGAGGGTGCGCTTGATTTGGTTGTTTGGGGCTGGGTTGGTGGCTCAGAGAACAAAAAAAGCCAACCCGGCCGACGGGGCCATACTTCCAAACTCTGCTGTCTCTCCAGTGTGCTGCTGCTGCTGGGTGCTTGTGTCCTTGCAGTCTTTTCCCGCTGCTGTTCGTTGTTGTTTGTGAGGGTGATAACGACAGACTTCAAACGTCGAGGGTCAAAATGTCACAAAGGTTGTCAGGGAAGGCGTGTTGGTTGGCCAGTTCTCTGCTAGCCCAGGCGTGCGATTGGCCGGTCCTCAGCTAGCCAGGGCCATGGTGTCGATGACCTGCTCCAGCTTGCCACGGAGCCGCTGTCTGCGCGACTGCTCGTCCTTTTGTAACGCTGACAGGATCTGGACACAAATATGGAGGAAGATTACACTATATCATCACACCTCAAACTGTAATTTCAATCATAGCATGAAGCGAGGCACACTGGGTGCTTCTCTTACGCTCCTTAACCTTAAATTTTGCTTGTGCACAGATACACCGGTTCTTCAACAGAAAGAGCGTTCTGGGGGTAATTTCAGGTTTCTCATTAGTGATTACATTTTAAACTAATGCTGAAAACATTGGCTGACAAAATGGACAGGGTTGGCGGGGCAGATGTGAGGGCCAGTGGGATGTCTATAATGGCATGTTAATGGCCACTGGGAGTGTGTACAGGAAGGTATGTGTTGGTGTCTTATTAAGCGTGACATGAACAAGGGAGGGAGGAGCTGGTACAGTAAGCGCAAAAAGACTGTATTTATGTGTGATTTTGTCTTTGTGGTACATCATTTTGTTTAATGTGTGTATCTGCATTAGGATGTGTATGTGACTGTGCTAAGCACCGCAGTGTACAGTCTGTGTGTTTGTGTATGTATGTGCGTGTAAGGTCAGGGCATGTGTTAGAGGCGATTGGGACCGTGCAGCTGTCTACATCTGGATAATAGGCTGTAATGAAGGGGAGCAATTGGTTTGAATGGAGCCAGCTGCAAGCAGCCAGCATAACTACTGTAATACTGTTGCGCTAGAGGAAGGAGGGGAAGGGAGGGGAGGGGAAGAGGCTGAGGCGACTTATCTTTTACCACATGAAAGCATGATAAAGTAGGGGAAAGTGGAGGTTGCCGAGGACATGTGGTTGTCCATCAGGAACTAGAGGACGATATAAACCATGGTGACTAATGGGAGCAGAAAATTAAAGGAATGAAGAGGAAGACGTATAATAACGAGCAGATCTAAATGCAAACTAATGAACATGTAATATCTTGTGTTGAAAAAAAGTGTTTTTATGTACATCCATATACTGCCTTTCTGGGCTGGAGCAATGACTTCCACAAGTCCTGTCTTCACTGTGAGGTGGCCAGATGAAATCAATGCACCTGGCCAAGAAAATTAAACCCCCAAACTGCTCTTTTTGCACTCTGATTTTAACAGGACAGATATGAACATGGTATCAATCTCCTCATATAACTGTCAGCATGAATGCATATTCCTTTAAAAGTTTAAACACACGTACATGCCTACATTGCCAACAGTGGACCAATGGTCTACACTAACTTGAACTCTGTTTCTAGTCATTTTGAAGACACAAAAATAGAAAGATTATTTATCATTATATTGCTGTGATTGATGTGCAAACTGTTTCAAAGAAATTGCCGAGAGGGTTAGGGTTTTAGACATGATTTTAGCATGATTTAAAGGTTGACAAAAAAGGGACCTGCTGTGGTGTTAAATGTGTAATGACAGTGAGGTCCACTGTTGGGTACGTATACAAGTTTGCACAGACAGAGAGACAGACAGACAGACACACACACACACACACACACACACACACACACACACACACACACACACACACACACAGGCCTAGTTTATACAAAATACTGTACATGCAGGTCTTTGGGAAAAATCACATAAATTTAATGAAGCTCCATTAGCTTCATAAGCTCATGCCTTAATGTGCATCCTAATGGTGATAATACCTTCCAGCCTGTGCCGATGTGGACTGCTTATCAGTATAATTGAATTAAAATGACCTCATGGTATTCGTCAAAACAAGTAAAGGGGGAAATGACACAGCACACACTGCTACCCAGTCATTACAACACTCTTTTCCATTCTATTTGATTCTATTCCACATCAAGAGGGAGCTCACCTCATCTTTGTATTTGGTGATGTAGGAGTAGATCTCGTGCAGCGCAGACATACTGTTGAACTGGCTGAGGTGCAGGCGGGACTGCTCTGCTAGGTAGGCACTCATGTCCTGATCGCTGATGGCTGGCATACGGGAGATATCGGAATAATACCTAGAGGAGAGATTGGGCAGAGTTTTGCACATATTTGTATTCCATCCAAAACTTGACTTACAGCCAGCAAGACTTACTGGTTGTTAAATATTCTGAATGCAAACAGTGGCAGCTGGTGGCCAGTCTTCTCACTGGGGAACTGATGCAGTTCATATTTTCATGTTCAGTATTTAGGTGATGTTTCAGTATCATGCTCAAGGACACTTTAATAGGACAAATGGACACGTGAGGGACATTATTGCCAAAAACAGCTGAAGAGGAGGGGACTGTGTGTCATAATAGCAAATGTGTACGTTTTTTCTACTTGAAAACTAAGGAAGTGTAGGAAAATTATAAGGCGGGAAGAGGGGAGTCAGAAAAGAGTGGCTGTTACGTATTTTTTGTTTTTGTTTTTCAGTCAGGGGTCATCATTTTACTCAATGACAGAAGTCCCTTAAGGAAGAAGGTTGGGAACTGGGTTTATTGGACTACAGTATCATCTAATATAATTCATATACATTTGTATTATTTTGACTCTAAGGTGCAAATACTGTGCTCAAGTCCGTCAGAGCTCTTGCTTGTGTCCATTCCCCTTTATTCAAAAATAGATATATTATTTTGAGAATTTAGGTGGATGGTATTGCGGTTATTTTCTAGGTCAAGGGGAGAGTCAAAAGAAAATATTAATAATGCAGAGGAGAACCTTTAAAATAAGTAAATAAAAAAAAATTAGAATAGATTCGACCACCCTCCCAATAATTTTTGTACAGTCTCTAATGATGACTGAGCGTTAACTTGCACCTTTTGAGGTCCATGCTGTCAGACCAACAACAACCTTCACATTATCGATTCAGTATTGTTGGCTGCATCCGAAGAGCAAAAAGTCCATTGAAAGCGAGGCAGGCAGAAAACACACAATGCAGTATATTAGGAATATATCACAATATTGAGATGCACCGGGACCTGTTCGCAGAATCTATATCTCAACTATCTCAAGGTTTACTGCAGCAGGGCAGGCTGGGGTTGAGTGTGGGTTAGGAGGCATAATGGAAACAAGGTTTAACTGCACCCAATTAAACATCACCTATAAATCCTTATCTCATACTGCCTCCAAATACTCTGCAAGCCTTAGGACTTACTGTAGCACATTCAAGTATGTTGCTTGAAATAAAGAAATGGACTTTGTGCCAGGATAATTGTCTGCTCTTCTGTTTCAGTTCCAGAGTGCTGCGGCAGCAGAAGACAGGGAAGAATGCACAATGGAGTTTGTTTTTTAACTAACATAGTTTAATCTAATTAGTTCATTTTATTCATCATTTTTATCATCAGTAGTTGTTATTCTCTGTCCTGTAAACATGATATTTTGGCAATCAGGGTAAAAAAATCACGACTCTTTCATCGTCTCTTAACGACAGCAATGTATGCTGTGGAAGAAGCTACAATGCACATTGCCAAACAAAGCTGCTTAGAGACTATTGGACTCTTCCCCAAAAGCAGAAACAACGACTGTGGCAAGCGTCGGTGGTGCATAACTTATCGCAAGTTTAGTTAAACATTCTGGAGCTGAATAAAAGATGAAGGGTGAACCAAAGGACGTTTTTCAGTGAGCCTCCATTTGCAGAGAGATGGCAAACAGTTGCTTCAAATCTCCCTTTCACCTGTGTGTTTTCTTACATCACTTTCTTCTTTACAGCTGAAGTGGATTTGAAAATCAAAGGGATTGTTTTTTGTCTCGGACCTAAATTCACAAGACAAGTTTAAAATGTCACAGACAGGACTTGTATTATGCGACTTTCTGCACTGTGAGAACGTTGTGTTTCATATTCATAGGCCTGGAGCAAGGTTGCTGTAATTGTAGTACATGATTTCTTTGCACTAATTTAATCCAACTATCTACTCCTATGACTTCACTCAAATGCTTTAAATGCAAGTACCAGATATACCTATTATGTTCTTGTAATCTTACAGTTGTTTTTAGCTTAGCAGTTTAGAAGTGTAATTAACTTTGATCTCATCATTCCACCTACACCTCTACCTCCTTCTTTAAAGACAGGTTTACAGTTTATTAAAAATTTCCAGCTTCCAAGAACTTGTATGGAACCTTTTCACATACAACTGTGGATGTACTGTTTTTTTCTACTTTAATATAGTCGATTTGAGTGTCAGTTTGTCCAGGTTCAACTCGGACTTACCTCTCTACCCAGTTCTTGTAGTTGGGGATGTCTTTAGCGTAGAGAAGTTTATTTGAAGGCGAGTCTTTTCCTAGTTTGTGTTCTGACGTTGAACAGGAGTCCATGAAGGTCTGGGCCACCACAGACAGACAGGCGTCTGTGATACTGTTCTTATGGATGTCAAACACAAACTGGGGGTTCTTGATGACATTCACCCAGAACCGCAGAGGAAGACTGGAGAGGGAATACAGAATAGACATTGTTTGAGTAAACATGAACCTGTATTTGATTAAATGTAACTTGGCGATGTCCTGTCCTCATGCAAATGCATCATGCATCCATCAGTCAAAAGTGAGTGAGTGTTTTGCTTCAGTTGCTTATTTCACTATTCTACATATTACACTAATTCATTTTCAGGTCTGATTAGTGCATTGTGTGCATTAAAGCCGTGTAGCAGCTGACTAGTAGAAAATGTAGTTGGTGAGAACTTTAATAAAAAAGATACACCAAATACTAACTAAACGCAATGCTAGTCTCAAGATGTTATTAAATCATCCAGTAAATTATGGCTAAACATCCGACACAGCAACCAGTTTAATATTGCATGCATTTTGCAGACCTGGATTTATTGATTTAATGACTTTGGTATGCAGTGTTGTTCACAAAGCTATGTACTTTCCAGACATTTGCAGATGGGTTATATACAATTACCGATAACATTATGTCCTGTTACATAACAGACCCAATTACAAGGCTATTTAAATTTGAAAAGTAATTCTATTGTCCATAAGTAATTACCCAGCCCCATAGGAACACAGCGATTTTGGAAAAATAACCAGTCATCTGGTTCAGATAAACTTTTTGCGCAATACATCCAATATAAAAGAAACACATGTCAAAACTATGAAAAACACATTCAAATTTTAGTCTTTGAACCATCACAATTTGAACTATTAGGTCCAATATAGGGGTCCAAATATTTTTTTTATGTACATTTGATTATTTTCTTGAATAATCAATAATTTGTTTAGTCAGTAAAATGTCAAACTTTAGTGAAAAAGGTCCAAAGTGACATCATCCAATTTACCATTTTGGCCAACCAGCATCCCCAAATATTAGGTTTACTATCACATAAGACAAAGAACAGCAACAAATCCTCAGGCAATGTTTTTGGTTTAAAAATGACTTAAATATATACACATAAAATCCACCAAATATCTATTTACACACTATGTTATATGAATTATTCATATGCATGGCCAGTCAGCTAGGCTCAGCCAGGGAGAGACTCTAATGCAAATACATGGACCAAAAGTGAAGAAGCCTGGAGATCTAAAGGTGAAATTCTGGAACACTGTATCCAGGTCCATTAATACTGTAGAGCCGCGGTGATGAATTTTTCAACTCCCTCACTTACCAGTTGCTCTTCCAGGTATGTCGTACGTCGTAATCTGTGATAGAGTGTTTGTCGGCCTGCTCGTCCAGGAAGTCAAACATGTACTTGATGGCCAGTGGCAGTGCGCTTCCTCTGTGGGCTGTGCTGAAGATGGTCTCAAACAGGTCATCCACAAACTTCTGTAACGTACCCTGAAAGGGAAGGACAGGGACGGAAAAAACACAATACATTTTTGTCAGTAGGACTTAAATTGTAAATTTTATTTAATTTTAATCCTAGTTTGTTTTTATGTTGTTGTTTGAATGTATTTTTTAACTGTTACTCTTAATAGTTGTAATATGGTAATGATTTTGTGTTTGGTTGTGTTTGATTTTATTTTGTAATCCGTGTTGGTTGGTTAGGATGGGTCATAATTTAATTTCATTGTTCTTTATCTTTATTTGATCTCATGTCTGACAAGCATTTTGTGGGGTTGTCATTTTAATACAGGTAATTTTGCCTTATTATTGTAACTTGCTTTGACCTTTGTGTTCATAGGTTTTTTTATTACTTATATTGATTTAGGCCTTCATGTGTTGAGCATTTTTGTGCTGCTACTCATGATCAACCACCCAACACCACCCCTCAAGGACACCACCCCAAAAACATTAGTTTCAAATCTACCTGTTAATTAGAGGAGAAGAAAATCTTGTGAAAACTCAGAGAACGTAGAGAATAACAATAAATGCAGTTTCACTGTGTTGTGTCATTTCCCCCCAACCTGTATCCACAGCACCAGAATGGTCCATAAGTGTGTACATTTTTAGTATGAATGGCCCCGCTGGGAATCACAGTGATAACTCTGGCTCTGTGACTGTGACAGAATCACAAACAGGAAGCCCAGCTCTTGGATTTGGATGGTGCTTCCCTCCAATGACAGTGCTTCAACATAATTACATCAAATGTAGCTAAATGAATTTCCCTAACAACACATTTGTTTCCCAGACTTCTCCATCTGGCAGAATCTATTACCGCAGAAATGTTTGGGGATCGTATTTAGTCAGCCGTTGTGAAATGGAACAGGAATGAATTCTGTCCCAGTCGCGGATCGAGGTACTGAGATCTGCATAGACGAAACGCCCGGGCAGACACAGAAAGACAGCCATGGAGAGACAAGGACAAGATGAGCTTCTCAATTGCATTTGCCTCTCTGTTTTTTTCATCATGCATAGCCAAATCTTCAATCCCTCAACAAATTACCTGTCTCCTGACACCTCCTGTATCTGCCTCCCCGCACTCTGCACCACAAGTCCACCTTTTATTAATCTGTTTTTTCTTATTACCAGTGGAAATTGAAAAGCTGGCCCTCTTGAAACTGCTGCCCATTGCTATATCCCCCCCTTACAATTAGGAAAGAGATGGTAAACTGAGAGACACTGAAGGAGGAAAGGAAAGACAGCTGGATTGGCTCATACTGCAAGGTTCCAAGATGGAGGGAATTGTTATGGGTCTGTTTATCCCGTATGTGGGGGGTGGGGTGTATTTGTGTATACAATGGGCCCTTTCTCACACTGGTAACCAATATAATTTGGATAAATTAATAAAAAAATGTATAAAGTTCCATCATCAATGGTGAACATATACTTCAATACAATATAATCTTCCAACCAATCTCACCCACAACATTCCTATGGTCGAGCACAATATAAATGCTTCACTACCTTTGAGAAAGCCGACTCTAAACCCATCTCAAGCAAAACTGGAGGCAGGTTAATCGCACTACTAAACTTTCTATCCAAACTTGTAGGGTGTACAGTTTTTGCCCAAGTCTGCCATTTCCTCTCACAAACCAAACCAGTGTGATTTCAAGAGTGGTCATTCCACTCAAACTGCACTGCTGTCAGTTATAGGGCAATCATTTAGCATGGGAAGAGGAGAAGTTGTTTTCTTTTCACTGGGGTACCACAAGGATCGGGGCTTGGTCCTCTTCACCTGTCATTATACACCACCACCCTTGGTCTGGTCATGTTTTTTCTTACCATTGCTATGCTATGACACCCTGCTCTCTGTCCTTGCTGTCTTGGAATTTCTTTGGAATTTGGATGTTTTTGCTCTAGGCATTTCCTTGATCTACTGTGGCTTGGATTGTACCTCATTTGTGTGTCACTTTGGACAAAAGCGTCAAATGAATAACTGCAAATGTCAAATGTATGTACATTTACCTGATTTAGGAATGCATAACATTTTTATTAAGAGATCTAATACATTTTTAGTCTCCTCAATAAGCAGCAGACTCTGTGTATAGTGTAGTTTCCTCTACCATTAAATAGGTGAGGTGGATCACTCTGCCTTAAAGAGCTGATAATGCTGAAAAGATTCCATTAGTCTGAGTTTCAGTGGTGAGTTTTACTGCCCCCAAATGATTCTAAGTGCTGTTTAAGAGGTTTCTTTCACCCTGGCTGGAATAAACTTTTAGAACACTGGTTCTGTGTCTTACTTTTGTAGCCAGCAGCCTGGTCAGGTAGATCTCAGAGACCATCTTGCTGCCTCGGTCGCCCTCCCTCTGGTCCGAGTGGTCATGGTTCTTCACCAGATGCCACAGTTTAGTTCCACTCTCCAGGTCAGGGGTTATCATGGGTGTTCTGGATCGTAGGCTGTCTGGACTACTGGCTGTCCTCAGCATGCTCTCTACAGTCAGGAACAAAAGACTGAATTATTTGAAGAACCATGTCAGCTTGTGTTAGAAACCTTGTAATTCAGAAATCAAAAAAAGGCTGGTTTCACCTACTAGAGCTCATTTTCAGATTTTCAGAAACCAGCAATTACTGCAGCCAATTATTCTTCCTTTCGCAGGTTGTACCACATAACTAAAAGCATGTAGATTCTCATTACCTTACAGGTAAGTCAACTAATAAACCAAAAATCACCCACAACTCAGTGTATTTCTTTAAGTTTTCCCTCTCTTTTACAGCCTGTGACTCATACTCCCCCTCCACTTTTCTCTATCATCTATATCTGTTTCATTATTCATGACGTGAGTGTCAAAGTTGATTAGAGCGAAGCAAGGAGATGCATATCTACGACTGTTCCATTTAGGATGGAGAGGGGAGCAACCAGGGAGGTGAGGTGCACAAAGGGGACAGGACTATATGCTGAGTAGCTGTTACTCCTGGGGAGGAAGGATGGATAGAAGAGGTAGAGAGATAAAAGAGAGGAGAGCTGCTGATGCACGTTGCAATCCCTTTATGTTTGGCAAAAATGTGGAGAGGAGAGGAGAGAATGTGGGGGAGATGACAGGAAAGGGGGGTGGGTGTGCTAAATGGACAGAGAGACAAAAAGGTCAGGAGAGAGAGGGGTGAAATGGAGAGTAATGGGAGAGCACGGGATAGAAAAGTGAAAGAGGCTGAGTGGGGTGGTGTCTAGTGCTGTTGTTGCTTTTGCCAGCAGGGTGCTGAGTGGCTTTGATTCCAAACCCATCATGGCCACTGGTGGTCAACATTTACCCGTGCTCATAAACACACTCCTACACTCACACACATTTATGCACGAGCACACACCCACACAATTAAACCATAAAGCAAATACGAACATGAAAACACATTATTTAAATGTATTCGCTGTGAATCAAAATAGCTGCAGCTGTGTATTAAAGCAAGATGAGATGATCATGAAAAAGAGACCTTTGATTTTAGAAATTTAATGCCGACGACATTATCTCTTCACTCATCCAATACAGTGGAAGTGTTGTGTGAGGCACTGATTTAGAGCTTTCTGTTCTTATTCAAGTCAAGACTAATCAATCAGCATATCAGGTATTTGTTGTTAGATGTGACTATTATTACACTATAGCCACTCTTTTGGTTTAATTTTACCATTTTACCGCTGTCATTGCAGTGTCATTTTGGCTTCAGCAGGCAGCTACTGAAAAGTTCTAACAATTATTGTATGCTACATGTCCAGAACCGAACAGCAGACAACCAAAAGCAGCAACTAGCTGGTGAACATAGTGGAGTATTTAGAAGCTATAGAGCCATAATTTGTTTCTCAGGAGTTGGTGGAGAGCCAAACAGAGCTCTGCAGGGAGTGAATATTCATTATCGGCTGGCCAGGAACACAAGTCCACACAAATGCTAATGTTACTCCATATGCACTATATGTGTAAATATGGCAACTGTTTCCTACAGTAATACCTTTTCACATGACAATATGTCAGTCTTGTATTTACAGGTTATTTTGCGCAGCCCCAAAGTAGGCAAAGATTTAAAAAGTTACTGACGGTTTGAATAAATGTCCATACCTTCCGGGGAGTGGTGTAAATGGGCACCTTTAAACACACACTGTCATCGTACTGACCTCTCTGGTGAGTCAAACAGTCTGGAAAATAGAATATTACCTATTTTGCTAAAGACCACCACTTCGCTATCTGATGACTGGGTTAGAGCAAAAAGCAGAGGTCTCACTCTCCTGCTATTTTCAGCTACTATAATTGTCTTCAGAATCGGCCCTCATTGGATAACAACTCAAATAGAGTCATGTCTATTTTCCTTATGGTCAAAGTGTGTAATACACAGCTTCAACAAGATAAACCATAGGTAGGTAAACCATATTGATGCCAGGTCTATCCCTGACTGCCAGGTGTCCTCTGTCTTTCTCTTTCTCTCTCACTCCGTCAGCTGGGGATCGAGGTGTCTACTTTAATGCCTGTCATTTGCGGACTGCTTGGAAATAGCCGTGGAATGGCCTTGGCCTGGGCTGATAGCAACGGATAAAAAGGATTGCCATTCACTCGGAGGGAGGTGAAAAACACAACAACAATGGAGCCCAATCATAGCCACGATAAACAAAGAGAAAGAGCGAATGAAAGAGTTAGAGGGTGTGGAGGGAGGTAGGCAGTTGGAGAGATGGGAATCCTTGACGGAACATCTAAAATGGGATCACGTCAAATGGAGATTGGGAATCTTACCGTATCTACTGAGGCTCTTGGTGAAGGTGGAAGAGTTGGAGATGTTATAGGCAGAGTTCTGCTTTGGCACCAGCGCGATCACTGAACCATCTGTTACCTGCACATTAAAACACACACACCAAAACCCTCAGTGTATGAATGTGACTTTACTGTCGACTCTTGCTTGTGCCTGCTCTGTGTGTACCTGATAGTGAGCCAGCGTGTTGAGTCTCTTCCAGTCATTGTCGATCTTAGTTGTGACATCTTCATCTTGCAGAATGATTCTGGCCATCCGACCTTGACGCCATTCTTCGGAGAGAGGGAACAGAGGTTTAGAGCCAAGAACACAAGTACTCTGAGGATGTGTTGCCGCATAGTGTTTTTCTCAATTTACTTTCTCACTCTTAAAGGGTAGTCACTTAAGGGTCCAGTGTGTAACATTTAGGAGGTTATTTATTAGTTATTTTATTAAATTAAATATATCAACTTCACCGCTAGATGTCACTAAATCCTACAAACTGGTCCCTAAATAAGACAGGGAGTGCAGCTGCCAATAGCTGTGAAAGAGACAATTTGGTTGATGTGGATGAGAGGGCACTTCAAACTCTCTTGCACACCTACTGCTAGTTTGACATTGGCTAAGCTACTGCATGCCAATGGTGGCACACATGCCTAAAACTGCTGACCCCTGATCCCTGAATTGTTTCTATAGTAGCCCAGACTGGACAAACCAAGAAAGAGGGCCTTTTGCGTATTTTGTGAGTTTTGAAGACACTGTTCCTACACGCTTGGAAGGCAAGCAGTATTCCACTAAATTCTACCCACAGGTCCTTTAAAGCTGTGCCAACCAATGTTTTAAAATCAGCACAATTAACGCACAAGTAATTACCACCACCTCTGCAGTTCCGCTCAGCTACACTGAGCGTTTTAGCATCTTTTAGCTGAATGTGTTGGTTTTACGGGGCCCCACCATATGTTTGTATTAATGCAGGTATAATTATACTATTAACTGATTCTGGTGACAGTCTACAGTGTTTTTTTCAGTTTTTAGCCGTTTTCCATAGAACAAAAAAAAACCCAAAACTGCCCAGGAAGTACAAGACAGGAAATGCCCCCCTGTCAAAACATACCAACAGAAATCAATTCCTGTTGATGTAGAGAGTTTGGAGTTGTAGTTTGATACTGAGCGTATTAATTTATAATGAAAAGTATTTAATTCCTTTCTGTTACCTCCGCTGTATTTGCTGAAGCTTCACTAATGTCAGCTAGTGGCTTATGTAATTGGATTAAACCTCGCTCTTTGAATTTAAATAAATGGTTCAATATGTGAAGGGGGTGTGTTCAAGCTAAAACGGGGCTTTAAGCTGTAGTGCGCTGAGCTCTCTTGCCCACTCTAATCACACCTGTGCTCATGTCTGATACAGTTAGAATATGCAGTACTCTACATCTTACCCAGGTCCATATCAGAAGCCTTGGGCCTCTGTGAATAGGGGCTGCCCTTGTACACAGCATCCAGCAGCTTCTCTTTGACCTGTGTGATAGTGTCACAGTTCAGACACTTGACCGTCACCTCGGGGGCATTCTCATTCTCTGGGTTTACACAGTGCAGCGTCTGGCAGAAAAACAAAGGAAACAAAGGGAAATGGAAACAGACAAAAGAAATTAGGCTTAGTCAGAAACACTGCAAGAACAGAGCCAACTAGTGAGATGTTTGGATGATTGTTCAGGTGCATTTGAATGTACCCGACAGCATCTTCACACCTAGTTTGTTTGCAGCAACTATTTTAAAACCTGGACATTTTCCTAGACTGTTCAGTCTGTTAGGGGCTATAATAACTCAGCTTTCGCACTTACGCACAAAACAACTGTAGCAGATCCTACGGACAAGTAGCTTTGTGTGTATGTTTCCAATCCAAACTTGAAGTGCTTTGTTTGGAGAGAGAATGTGATTAACGCTGGCCCGTAGTCGTGTCGGTTCATGGCCAGATCACGTTCTCCTTCCAAACACAACTGATGCTGAAGCTCCATGTTTACCCTGGAAGAAATCCTTCCCCACAGCAGACTCCTGACCAATTAAGCAAACAGGCGGCTGCCACATTTCAGCTGCTGATCAGTTAGTTTGCTTTAAAATCTTCATCATTGTTAAATGTGACTAAAGCTTAACAACCCATCAAGTGACTCAGACCAAAGCAGATGAGCCTCAAGACAATAGGTTTACTGACCAGTGTTTTGTAGTCAATCTGCTGCCTGATGAGCTTGTCCTCGCTGAGGGAGTAGCGGGCTTCTCCTGTGATGGCGTCTATGGGTCCCTTCTCCATCTGCTGCTTGATGGCACAGTAAAGCATGAACAGAGGCTCCCCGGCACACTCCTGGTGAGGAGGAAGACAGAAAGAGAGGCGTTGCCAGCAGTTCAACCGAGTCTTTGAACAATTTCATTTGAACAACAGTTAGAGGCCTGAGGAGGGAAACCTGTCCAGTAATTCACAAGAAAAACAAAGATTAGAGAAAATCCTAAAAACAAATAGCATTTTAGTTTTTTTCACCCCATGAATCACCTTATACTCTCTTCTGGTTCTGGCTCTCTCTTCGGGGAAAATACAGTAAAAAAGTGCTAAAATACAGTATAGTCCATATCCAGATCTGCTTTTTCTAATAATAATCACAAGATTACGTGAGAATCCAAACCACAGCGGCTCGGACCAGTCAGCTTCCTTTGAGGAACCACTGACAACCGGGACATGAACTATGGATGGTTTAACACTAGGTATGTGTGATGGTGTGTGTGTGCGAAGTGTTACTGTTAGCTTGAAAACAACAATGGTGGCTGATAAAGAGGTTAGCGTGGATGCTGCTGGCATCAGTTCCATCAGAACTGGAGAGTAGTTCTTCATGAAAGAAGAGCAAAGAATTATTCAAATAATGTAGAGTTAGACTACGTAATATGGATCATTGATCTGACTTGGCCATGATAGACTGTGAAAGATGATTCAATCACGTGCAAAGTAATTTTTGAAACAGTTTGAATTGAACAGTTATGACTGTCTACTTAAAGTATTGCAGGCTGCTTCAATCATATCACACTGGACTGCAGTGAAACATTTAAAGTCAGGATATAAGCAGGTGGCCACTGTGGTAAAATGGTGTGCAGAGAGCTCAGCAAAACACATGTAACATCTTCCTTATGCGTCATTAAAACGGCAGATTTTACACCTCCTTTTCCCAGATGTTAACATTTCAGACTAAACTTTCTCTGCAGCAGCAGTCAGTATTCCGGTGATGAATCAGGTGTTGCAAGCTTAGTATTAATTTCCATTCCCTCCTCCCACATTTTGTGCCTCTGAACAGAAACACCTTCAAATCTGTTGCATGAGACCAAATATACACTTTTTAGCTGTGTGTTTCCTCCATCTATCAGCACAAAACCTCAGTGTGGTCTTTTAGTAAATAAGGACAAATTCCTTTGACTGAAAAAGGGCTGCAAACCCTTAGCAAATATCCCTGTCTGTGTCTAGTGGCAGAAATCTTCCACTTTAGTTAAACTATTCATGACATTCTTTAACAAATTCATGGCCGTTCCTAAGGCAATATGTGAGATGTGTGTAAAATTTTGGTTGATAAGATTCTGCTTGGTCTCTTGGCATACCAAAACAAAACCACTTCGCAGCAGTTCTCCTTTGTGGGTTTTAGGCCCGGACACCACCTGTAAACGCAGACAAATGGGTGAAATGTGTTGATGCAGTGGATAATTTACGTCTTATTAATATCTTTTACTTGTGGTTTGATACTTAAATCCATTTCATGACCATTCCCCAAATCCTTCCACACCCACTAACTTTCCATCTATCTTCTCTCTCTCTCTCTCTCTCTACTTCACCTTACGTTTTATTAGGCGATAAATGCCTTAAAGTGATCAGAATTTGCTCATAGTATTATCAAATCCTCAAAGGCAGATATGGAAACGGTCAGGCTGACACTGCAGTCACAATCCAGCCTGGAACACGCAGACGTTGCATTTTAGAAATCAGATCTTAAAATCTTCTAGAAATGACAAGTGGGTGAATCAACCTTAGGTAATCTCTTTCTTTCTCTTTCAGCCTGGAGGACTGACTGAACGTGGCTTTATATATAAATCCTTTCATTTCTCTTTACATCTCAGAGCTTATGCGACCAGACACAGATGTTATAAATATGTTTCCCACTCGCCCCTCCATCAAAAACACTTGCCAATCAATAGTGTCATTAGTCATCACTTGGACCCAAGGAAAACACTCCCGACTGAAGTAGCAGCAGTTTAGAGGGGAGAGAGAGGACACATCACGGCCGATACTCATCCCGACGAGAGCTTAATGATCGACCGCGCAGTGCTCAGGGAGATACTTCAGACTGTGTGTGTGTTGGAGATGCATGAGGTCCAGGTGAGAACAGGGGAAAGTACTAATTTATCTCTCTCACCTTCACACACACTCTACAACTCGCTCTTTAATTTCCAGCACACACATTCCTCTGTTTTTTCTTCCTCTCTCCCTGTAATACCAGTCCTCAACCGCTGACTGTTATTTCATTCTCCTCAACAATTTCTTCATCTCTCTATCTCTTATATTCACACATAGAGTACATCTTCATGTAGCTGCTTTCAAATGAATATATGATGCTAATCTATTGGGTTCTAATGAGCTTTAACAGGTCAAGCCAGTAAATGTCAGCCTTTGGGCTAGCAGCGGCCGGTTCTGGTCAGATAGTGTTCGCCTTGTTTCATGATATCTGATGACTTTAATCACAAAGGGGCCTTTGATATGGAAACAAGACAGCGCAGGACATTTGTATGATGTCGTAATGCCAGATGAGTGTACCTGTCTTCATTTTTCCACTCCTTTCTTCTCCTTAAACGTACTACAAGGAGTGTTTAACTGGTTATAAAACAATCTTGGTTCTGTATGACCTACATAAACAAACAAGACCATCCGCGAGAAGACTGTAGTTATTTATGACGCCTGCCAGTAGGTCAGATTCAGTCGGATTCCCCTTGAAATCAATGAAACAAAAAATCTATCTATCTATCTATCTATCTATCTATCTATCTATCTATCTATCTATCTATCTATCTATCTATCTATCTATCTATCTATCTATCTATCTATCTATCTATCTATCTATCTATCTATCTATCTATCTATCTATCTATCTCTTACAAACTAATGTTCTCAATGTTCTGGATAAAGTAACAAAAACTACAACTAATATAAACTTGTGCTGACAGAACACAAGGTTGTTCTGTCCTTTTTCATTTTCCCCTAATTATCCATTTCTATGACCCCATCCAACCAAAAACCTTCCTGCTACCACTGTCTCTCCTACTGTCTTCTTTAGTTTCACCGTTTCTTTTTTTCTTCTTTCTTCCTTCCCTCCTTCCTGCTTGCTTCTCTTCCCCTTCCTTAACTCCTAATTGTCACGTTCCCCTATTCTTCCTCCCTCTCCCCACCACCCCTGTCGCCTACCTCTAACCCTTTTCCTCGCTTCCTTCCCGCCTATCCCGCCAACCATTCCCCCTCTCTCTCCCCTTTCCTCATTCGACCGCTGTGTGCTTTAAGAACCTCGTTAGCATCTGGGCCAATTAGGTGGGCAGCTGCTAACGAGGCAGAGCGAGCATACATCACACTGTTATGTTTTTGCTCTGGCTTTCGCCGTCCTCGCTCGGCCGCTGCATGCTTGTCTTCGAGATTTGCCCTATATAGTGGCTTCATTAAGGCTCCCTAATTGTATGCTGACATTTACATTTTAGGGATATAATGATGGTTCTGGCGGTACGGAGAGGGGAACGGGCTTAGATTCCTACATCGCTAACAATCAGAAACTATAAATCAGCAATGAACAAGTTAGAGACGTTGTATATTTATTATTTTCTAGGAAATAAAGTCACTTTTGCTGCATTTTGATACTATATCAGCACATTATACATGCACACATATGAGCATGCTCTGTATCATCATCAAAATGAAAGAATTACACCCAATTTATGCCATCTTCTACACCATTTTTTTATTTACTGTGCAACTAGCAATTACCATATGGAACTCACAATGTCATTAGGGTTATAATGGTCCTTTCTGACTGGACTGTAAAAGCGAGAGACAGGAAGAGGGGACGAGGAGTGGCGAGGATGAAGGAGAACAGTGAGAACAGTGTGAGCGCCATCGCACCCCCCTGGTGAGACTAATGACCTTAAGGCAGAGGGGAGACTGACGGCGGAATAATGACAAGAGAAAACCCACACAGATGAAAGAGAGATCAGAGGAAGAGGAATAGTGAGCTAAAGGAACGACATGAAGATCAGTGAAGAGGACAAGTCGGCTACAAGAGTGAAATTATGAGAGTGGAGAGGAGTAAAAAAGGACATTAAAACAGCAGAGGAGGGAAAGAACGCGTGCTGCGGGGAGGCTTTGATGATCCACTGTATGTATACTGCACTGGTGAGGCAAGAAAATATGCAGCTGAAACAGGAAAACCCTTTTAATAAGCTCAGTGAGATAAATGCAATGGGGAAATAATACAAGCCAGAGGCATTTAATAAAACTCTAACACACAGGCTGTATAAATGCATTTAAAAACACAGCACAATATAAATCCACTTTAGATGATGACTATTAATCAGTGTTTAAAAGGTACAGCAAACAGATGGAGCGAGAATATTATATGATTGCGCCTTGTTTTGGGGCTTACCTTGAGGAACTTATACAAGAGGAATGTAAACCAGTTGGTCAGCATCTTCTCAGCGACAGACTCCGTTCTGACACACAGAGGAAAAAAACAAACCAAATTATGGAGTAACATGATTATGAGGTAAAACTATTTGCTTTGGAAGAGCTACACCATTTTGTACTCATTACAGGGAAGATAGATTTAAAGTTTGGTTAGAGTTTAGTTATTTATGTCCCTAAAAGAAGTGCTCCATTTAAACTAGTGGTTACCACTTATTGGCTTGTGAGCCCTTAAAGCAAAGTTTTTGCTTCAGTGAGCACATGAGCTATCATTTGAAGGATTTTCACAGCCCTAAAGAGGTAAAAGCATCCGTTTTCTCACAAAAAAAGACAAAACTTGCTTTTTCTTCATGTGTTATGATCTTGTTGAACCCTCAGATTTGTCTTCCAAACCAAATAAGTAAATACTCATTCATTATTCATTTATTATTGGAACATCATTGTCCATATTTTAACTTTTGAAAGTTTTGACTATGAAGTTAATATAATCTTCAAACCTAAAAATAAAAAAATATATTCAGAGGGGATGGTCCATGGTCTAATGTACATCTATTGTGGGAATCCTTGACATGAAAAAGTTTGGGAACCCCTGCTCAGAGTTCCTCTAGAACTTTCCTGATATGTGGCAGGATCTATCTTTCCTGTGCAATACAGTAAATAACATTGGTAACAATGGCACTAAGTCTAGGAGAATATGCAGTAACAGGAACAATACAATGTCTAGAAGATTAATTAAAAAGAAAGATTTAACAATATGTAGTTCTTCTGGTATTCTATTATGCATATTCTGGTGCTGTAAAGACTGGATGAAACAGTTGAGAGATAAATAAGTTTTACAGACAGATACTTGAATTAGGTTTGTGGTTCATTTGTTCTTGTTCATATCTGTCAGATGTATAAATAAACTGTGAACTACTGGTATCTTTTGTCTATTTTATTTGATCCAAACAGCATCCCTCATTTTTGTCCATATGTATTGCCTCTGTGCTAGTGTATTAGTCCTTCTGCACTGTAAAATATTTTAAACTAGTTCAACTTAAAAACGTAGGGTCCCTTGCTGCTTTAAACATGAGTTACCGGAACTGACCTTGAATAATTTGTTCAAAGTTGACTCATGCTATTGTAATGCAAAACTAACTGATTTAAGTTTAGAGAACTTGAGAGAAGAACTTACGATATCAAATTCAATCAACAACAGTTTATAAGTTCCGAAATACTAACATAAAACAGTTAATTCCACTAAAATCATATATGTTTGTTCCACGTCTCTCCACCTCTTCCTCACCTCCTGAGCAGCAGTTTGGGATGGTTTTTGCTCTCCAGGTTTCTGTCTATCAGGTCGGACAGAAGCTGTTTCAGGACTCCGGTGGCGTACTCCATCTCCCCCTGCAGGGCCGTCATGATCAGAGATGCCACGTTGCCTCGGTCCCGCATTGAAAATGACCTGGAAATAGTAATAGTAATAATATATTGAAAATATAATAACATTCAATATGAATACATCCCCAGCTTTTGCTGAAGCTGATCCTTAAAACATGCACTTTTAACTTTAATCAAACTCTCCTTTGCCATAAACAAACAACAAACAACTCTAATCCTGGGCATAGCCTTTCATGTCATATCTGATCATATTAAACAGGTGATAAAAGCATGTTTTCCAAAGACAAATAATCCTTGCTTTTCCTCCAAAGGACTTTTTTTTGGCTGATACCTACAGTATTTAAAAATGGAACTATGATGCTCATGACTAAACAAAGGCAACATTACGCGCATTGTGCAGTGCAGTGAGTGTTTTTTTTTTTTTCGAATTGTAGAAATCCCTTTTGGAATAAACTCCAATACTAAAACCAAAAAATATATATAGTTGAACAATAAATAAATAAAGAAGGAAAGACAGACACCTCTGTGCCTCCAAGGTTCGTATGAACGTCAACAGGAAGTGCTTCTTTGTCAGCAGCTGGCCAAACAGCGTCAGTGCCTTCTCAACATTTGCCTGGACCTGAAGAAAAACAGAGACAGACACAGAGATTAATGGCTTTCTATATACAAACAGTTCTGTACTTTATAGAGGAGCCTGCCATTGTTTTGTATCCTTAGAAATCTGCCATCATTCACTATCCTCAGCTTTCCCAAAGAACTCCATGATGTAACAATGAAGTTACAACAGCGTCTGTAAAGTCTAATCAATTATTGTTATTCTTTCTATTGTTCCTCTGTAAAAGTTAAGGCCCTGTTTTTTTTTTCAATCTTTGCCCCGTCACGGTGACTTTCCACAGCAATGGATAAATAGTGCGCATGCACTGTAAACATGTGGAATGAAAAGAATTTTTAGAAAGGTTGCCACAGAAGTCATCTAGCAACCAGAAAAACCCCAATACTTCAATCTGAACAGTCATTGCTTGCCCATAGGTAACTTATCTTTGGGCACAATCAAATGCCAAATATTGAAAGTAACATAAAGGATAAAATGTTTATATAAAACTATGACTCACTCTGAGTGAAGAGGGATTCTGAACACATCTGCCAGCAGTATGATGAGCTGAGATTGGCTTGTAAACAACAAGGTTAAGACTGATTGGCTACTCTCTCCCGCTGCACTGCTGTGTGCTGCTGTCTAAGTGTCTCTCAGTTGTTGCTCTACAGATGATTTTTGCAGACAATTTGACAAAATTGTCTTCTTGACACCAGGGGGTGGATGGGTCAAAGCATCCTCCAGTTAAATATGGACGAGACGAGAATTTTAATCTCTGGTCCCGGCCAACTCGTGTGTACTCATAACTTGTCCTTGTCTGGGGATTTAGGTGTTAATCTTATTGTTTGTTATTGGACTTTTGCAAGGCACTAATATGTGTTAATGTTTGTAAATGTCCTATTTTGAAAATCTGACATTGCCTGTCCCATTTACCACTCTCTCCATCACTATCAGATATATTACTTGAAAGCCCTTAACTGAATCATTTAACAGTGCTTCAAAAGGCTGCTGTCACTGGGAACGCTCACTTTTTATCTGTTCCACGAACTTTCTAAAAATGTCTAAAATCTAATCAGACTGGCCTGAACCAGCCCAGCATGAGAGAGACTCAGAGAAGGAGAGGAGGGAGGAAGCGTCAGGGCATTGCAGGATTGTGTGTGTGTGTGTCAGGGTTGGTGACAGAGGTGCTCCCTGCTTGTTCCACTGGCTGGCACCTGTCACTACTCATCAACAACACACTAAACCCCCTGAAGACGCCTCTCTGTCGCTCACTCGCTCCGTCTTCCTCGCCGCTCTAATTCTCTCCCTCGCACTTATTGTTGACTGTTTCGCATCATCGGTCTTTCTCCCATTTTAATTTCTCCTCCTTTTGGTCTTTGTGTGCATCTCTCTCACACATTCTCTCTCTCTCTCTCTCTCTCTCTCTCCACACACACACACACACACACACACACACACACACACAAAACACACATCATTTCCACCTCTCTCTCGCTCTCTATTGTCATCCTTTTGTACCACTGTAACATCTATTCTTTCTCTCCTCCGATGTGCCATAATAAAGTGTCTGGGCCTCTCTCTAAAGTGCTAAATGAGATTCTCGGGCCTCCAGGGTGGATTCTGAGTGTGATGTGTGTGCGTTTGAAAAGAGAGAGTGAGAGCAAGAGAGGAAAGGAAAGAGAGACAGATGGATATGCATGTACATACTGCACAGGCAGAGTCTTTACCGGATTTCCAGGAGAGTTAGGAAGGGTACATTGAGTTATCTGCAAGACTGTGCATGTGTATGTGTGTAAATGTACTGCATGTAGTGTGTGTGTGTGTGTGTGTGTGTGTGTGTGTGTGTGAGCATAACTGGTGTGTAGTTTGGCTGTCTAGCTTAGGGGAGAGAACAGTCACACAGAGCAATAAAGCTAGGAGCATTGGTTTACACAGGCCATTGGATTACACTGGCAACCCCTGGGGGAAATACAGAGGGAAGGAAGTCTAGACATAACTATAAAATACGTAAGATCCCTTTACCTCTCTGCCTGCCTCAAACCTCAAATTAAAGGTGGACCCCGCTTTTGGGAATTTGTATCTGGGGACATCTTCCCCACATTGTCATGTCTCTAGTGCTTATGTAGCTTAGCAAAAAAAAAAAAAAAAAGATATTTTAGGACCTCTTAGGCCGACTGGTTGTCAGCAGATTTGATAGAAGTCTATAGAAAGACTCAAAACCATAGTACGTTTGGGAGATTGGGCCTTGTACCTTGCATGACAAAGATGTAAAGCTTTATAGAATAGCATTCCAGGGTAGGTCTGGGTTCTAGCAGTTCCATTTCGATGCTAGCAAATATCTCATCAAACCTCTTTATTTTGCTCCTTTACTTTTTAAATTACGAATATAAACTGTAGATAACTTTTGCGTTGATGACACTTTTGTGGATTAAAATGACAGTGGCGGGGAATTATATTAGCTGAAGCTAACTGACATCAACTCCGTAAAGCCTACAATGAAACCTATGATTGTTCTCTGCTAGCTGGTGTCTGCTCTGGGCCACCAATTCTTTTTTTTAATGAAAAGAGTGTTTTTGGTGTGATCTACAAGAGTGACTGCAGAACAGCTTTAATGTGCTGTACCATACAACATGAAATGGTAGAATTTGTGTTTAATGTTGTACGTGACAAATAACATAAATAAATGGCAAGAATCTCCCAGTTAAACCTCAATATCAATATTTTAAATATTATCAGTGTAATAATTAGAAATTTCAGCATTTGGAGCTTATGATACATTTACATTACAATCCAATAAAAAAAAAAAAAACAAAATACAAAACAAAACATAATCAATATTTGCTTGGAAAAACCCCCAAATAAAGATGTATTATTATTAGATATGCAGACAAGTAAAGCATTGAATAGAAATATCTAAACGTGTAATTAAGAATCAATAAATAGTTTTAATTTCCAAATGTATTCCAAATACATGTCTTTAGTCTAAAATGTGGCCATAACAAATCTTTAAATTAATTTCTGTTTCTTTATTTTTTTATTAATTCAAATTAATGTGTTAAATGTGACAGCATCTGATACCAAACTAGGCTGACATATGCCACCAAATGCCAGCCCTCCAAAATACGCCCCTGATTGAAAGTTAAATTCAAGAGACTTGAAAGAGTTAGACTTGATAAGCAGACTCTATACTAGATTCTTATTACATAAGATGCTATTGAACAAAGCTTTATGTGAGTTGGCAAAAGCAGTAAACTTAATGAAAAGGAAGGAAAATATGGAGAGTGTGTGTGGATTTACCCACTGGTTGTCAAAACTCTTTAACTACTCTGTATTCTTTCTGAGGACAAAAGGTTGTTGTGCTGTACGAATTATAAAGGCCCTTGAGACAAAGTGTGATTTGTGATTCTGGGCTATATACGTAAATAAAATTGACTTGACTCTTCTTTCAGACTTTGCATTGCCAGTAATTCTAAGTTATAGCTTTATAGTGTCTGCTGGAAACCACAATGGGCTTTTTTCTATATTAAAGGATAATTCCATGGTATTTAAGTAATCACCACTGTTCCTTCTTGCCAAAAATAAGAGAGGATGAATCACTAAGAATGAATCAAAAAACGGCAGAAATGGCAGCTATGGGACCACCCAGAGGGCTTTTTTTTCCTTCTAGGAATATAAATCCACTTTCTGGATTAGAACGATTAAATGAAGCTGTAAAAGGTCAAACAAATTATTCCTCGTCTCCAAAAAGTCAGTGCTCCAATCAAAGCCAATGGAGCAGCACCAGATTCTACATCTTAATGATACTGCTGATTACAAACTTGGCTCTCTGGTTTCTAGCTTTGGAGAGAGTAGTTTATGTTGACATACTATTAATTCTACTTCCCTTGGTCTCAGCCGTAAAATGTCTTTATAAATTGCCATTCAGCTGTGCTGGCAAGGTGGGTGCATGTACTGGCTTAATTAATAACTTAGCAGTGATGTATAATGCAAGTAACAATCCTACTAACCCCGACTGTTACTTCTCCTTCTCTGCTCTAATCCTCTTCTTATCTTTCTCTTCATCTTTGCGATGCACTTTTTTACATCTCTTTATCATCTTGCATCTCTTACATAATATTTCTTTCAGTCCATTTCAAGCAATCCTCACTTTAAAACTCCACTTCCTTACATCAAGAGAATATGGTGAGTGTCTGTCCCATGAGATCAAACTAATGATGATACTAAGGCTCTTGAAAAGTCATTTGCATGCATTGAGACAAGCTGAATACATTAACACAAAGTAGGTAAAATATAGGTTATGTGATTGCTTTAAGGTGAAACACGTCTGGAATTCCCCTCGGCTCACATCTCAGACTTTTGGAGAGGCCTGTCTTTGATGAAAACTGTCATGGGATAATGGCTACAAAGGTATTAAGCAGCGTTGCCAGAAGGACATTTTCATGCCATTAAATCCAACTTTCAAAATACTTCTCAGAAAATACTTCTCTCGATGTAGCATCTTGCTGAGGTGAATTAGTTGCAGTTAGCTTAAGCAGCTACTGTTTCTACTTCTGATGTAAATGTATTAATGCAAAAGCAGTTCTACTAGGTTTAATTAATTAGGGTGAGTTTGTTTCAGTTTCAAGCTTGGTTGGTAGTGTACTGACCCGTACCTCCATCTCCTTGAGCACAGGGTGGTCTTCAATGCCTGGGAACAGGACCCTCATTGCGTAAGTCCGATAGTCCAAGAAGGGAATCCCAGCTCCGTCCAGCTCCTGGGTCAGCTCGTGGATGTCTGTCTGAAGCTCGGCAAAAGCTATGAGAAAAGATGCAAATGGAAAATAGAGATGGTTAGAATGGGTGATGGTGAATAATGATGTGTTTGTATGGACATACAGAAGGAACAGCACTACTATTGAACATCATATTGCATTGTGGAATGATTTATTATAATCATGGATCTTGTGATTTTTCTTGTGCCGAATTTGCCCCTGCAAGTAGCCCACATTTGGACTGACCAGTTCACCAGCCATTTCTTTGCTGCCAGTGAGGAGTTTGACCAGTAGTGCAATAACAATGACATGATCCCCCACTGGCTTCCCACTTGTGAAAAATTTCAATTGTATTGGTTGGAATCTAAAACTTTGGGAGCAGTGGTGAACACACATTTTTGACCTGGACCACCTGTGCATTGCAAGGTTTGTGTTTGAAAGTTGAAGTCCAAAGACCCTTTTCACAATTTGCTACATAAGATGTTAATTTTGACACATTGCACTTTTTGAAACAAATGTCATACTTCAAACCCATGCATGAACAATGCGTGAGCCCCCCAGGCAAGTGTGAGATTTGTGAATTGTGCCACAGCCCCCATTTGCGATATTCAAGCAAGCAGTGCTTTGAAATCTCTTTGGTGAAACTGGCCCCAGTATGGCAAACTTCAGGAAGCCCTAGAAAACATTGTATTGCCAGCAATATTTACCTTTGTTGAATTAGAAAGTGACAAGTATAGGGAAATATTCAGGGTCCTCCCCCATGAAAGACTTAGTGAAGTTGCGAAGGGTAACGGGAGGTCTTTCAATGAAATGTGGGCTCCTCTGCTTAACTACCTACCTGAAGATTTGACTCGGCTAGTGATGAGGGGCCAGTTTTCCCTAAAATGGCCACGCCCACCTGGGATAAATCCATAAGTGTCTTCTCTTGTACTGCGGTTCCTAAATACTGTCATTTTTTTTTTTTATGTTTTAACTCCACTTGATGTATCACTGCTTACTTTTGTAGAATATAGGCACTGTTGTGACTATGGCTACACTAATGGACAATGTGTGTGTATGCAGAGCAATATGGAGAGAGGCTCCAGTATGTACTGTGAAGGTGAAGGGGGGGCAGTAGACTGGGACATTTTCCTGCTAAGAATAGATGGATGGCAATATATATGTATATTTATATATTTTTTTTTCTTCTTTTCTTTTCTTTTATCTATCTCTGTTACTGACATGATGGCAAAATGTATAACCTGTGTTTCTGTTGAAAACCAATAAAAATTTGTTACAAAAAAAAAGGAAAGTGACAAGTTCTACCAGCTTGATGATAGCAGACTGTAACACCAGTAATCTCAACTTCATTATTGCATAAAAAGCATCAAAAGGTTGGAGGAGTAAATCAGTAATTATATGATGCTCCCACATTATGTTAGACCCAAAGGTTTTGGTGCAAGTGTATGACAGTGAGACGACAGCACTGTAAACACAATATATGGGTTAGATGAGGAGCCTGCCAGAGACAAAGAGGGGAAGGCGCAAACATTGCATAATTTCAGGTAGAGTGTCTGGGTCTTATAAAAAAGGCTAGACAGAGAAGAGACTGGGACTGTAAAGGTCAGCTATGATGAACAAAATAAAAACTAAAGCACAGACAAGACAGAAGCATGAGGAAATACAAAGGTGGGTAGACAATCAAGTATAATAACAGGTTTAGAATCAGTAATTCAGTTACTTTTACTAAAGGACATGTTATTATGTGTGGTTGAAAGAGCATGTCATTTCTCTACAATTCTGTGTATAACTTAGAAACGTTTTAGTGTACACATCCAGGTATAACACTTCCACATCTACATTTTATTGAAAGACAGGGCTAAAAAATGCTGTGAACTGAATTGCTTTCTTGGTGTCTTATTAAATCTCTTAAATTCTACCTTTGCTGGACCAAAAAAGACCAAAATACAATGAAATAAAAAAGGGAAAGCTAGCTCGGGGAGAGAAAAGCAGAACCAGGAGACAGAAAACAAAGTTCCTGGAAAGGAAAGTCAATTAATTGCATGAGTGGATAATTATTAAGAGAGCGACGGATGAGTTTTCATGCATAATTTCTCCCAGCTGTTATTGGACTGTTTGGTCCACAAGAGAGATGGAGAGGAGAGGAAGCAAGGAAGATAAAGGAAAGAAGGCAAAAAAAGGAGGGAGGGAGAAGAAAGGAAGATCAGGAGGTAAAGCGAGGATGGGGAAACAGAGAGGAAAAGGACATTCATAGGATAGAGGACACAAGTGATTACGACTAAAAGAAAAAGGAGCTGAAGATCAGCAGGTAAAGGTCACACCTGAGAAGAAGTGGAAAGTAGAGAAGGTGAGATGAGAGAAAAACCAAAAGAGGCAGCAGAAGAAGCAGAATAGGAGATAGAGGCAGAGTGACAAGTGAAAAAGAAGAGAGGGGATAAAAAGGGAACAGAAAAAGACACTGTCGTGGAAACTCATCTCTTCTATCCATCAATACATTTCGGATTTGTTGCTCTGATGGTAAATTTTTCTGCTTAAAAAGGGACCTAGTGATAGGAATGAGACCACAAGAAAAACAAACATGTCCTAGTAGCTTTTTCATTTCAAATTATATTTTTGAGAACCTGTGTGTGTGGAATTTAGTGGCATCTAGTGGTGAAGTTGCAGATTGAAACAACTGAATATAGCTTTCCTTATAGTCTTCACCATGATAGTTTGTTGGAGCCAGCGGAGGTGATGTACTACTGGTTGATCTGTGCATACCCTGCTTTATCGTCTATTTTACTCTAAATTAGACCATCATTTACTAAATGAACATCATAATGTTTGAAAGAAGACGTGAAATTAGCAATTGAGACCATAAACTTGTTAGGAAACTGTTAACTGAGCTCATAAATGAGATGAGAAGTTGACTCATTCTCCATTAGAATGAATGATATCAGTGCGTTATTGGAGCCAATGGAGCTCCCCCCGCTAGCCTCTACATAGAATGCAGGTTTTGAGACACTTCCGCGTTGGCTTTACTTTTTAGACCTGGAAGCTCTGTCCATTATATATACTGTCAATGCTATGAATATTATATTCCATTTCTGCCAATAGATTCTCCTAAATGTTACACACTGGACCTTTAAGATTCTGTGAGTGAGTGGGATTTTTTTCAGTTTTATATTCTAATGGATTTCCTGCTGCGAGAACTGAACACTGTTCATCAAGACATTAGGTTCTCTTGCCAAGCTCAGGATGTTTTATTTGGGGCGAACATTTTTGCTAACATCACACTAAAATTGTGATATATTATGATCCCTGTATGAAGTAATCAGAACTGCAAAAGGTGTGCCGAGCCAACAATCCAGTGAAGACAAACACACACGCATCATAATGCTTCCAAAGAAATTACTGAAGAGTTTCCCAAATATTTGAAATACACTGACTCATGGTAAAAGCAGGAACGCATAAGTTAAAAACTCCTGTCCTATTATCTTCATAGCATTTAATGTCTTGCTATCACCAGTGGCTGGAACAAGATTTTATATCCAGTTGATAAAGAGCTTTCACTCTGACTGCTGTATACACTGTGTCTGGCAGTTCTTTCCTGGGAAAATCCTCATATGTTTCTGATTTGAGTACACAAAGAAAATACCTTGATAAACACAAAGTGTGGGAAATGAAGCCACAGTATTGAATGTACTTACATTGGCACATAAACAGTACTTTGCCCATGAATCTGTTTGAAAGATCATTGGCATTTTGTTTGCTTTTATATGGTAATAAAGAAAAAAAACATCTACATTACCTCCCCTGAACTAAACAGTGACATTTGCCAGTCAGCGGTTGTCATTTATAATGTGTAACTAATTATCCATGGCTGCTAATATGCTAGTGTGGATGATAGTGTACAATGTGAGGTCTGCTTCTCACGGATGAGTGAACCAAACGTCCCACGTCACTTCCCCTCAAGACTCTCAGAGCGAAGCTGATCTCACATGCAAATACACTTCCATTTGCTATCACACACACGCAGCGCACCGCCCACTTCATCTGTTCCTCCGCCCACACACACTGTCTCGTCCCTATAGGCCAGCTGGGAGTGCAGCAGGCGGGGCGGGGTGCTTTTTGCGGGGGTGTGGGGGTTGGGGTGGGAATAAGGCCATGCTTCACTCCCTGGAAAAGTAAGTGCTTTTATTTCTATTGACTGGATCATGGTCTGGTTTCTCATTGAGGATGGAACAGGGCTTTTCTAGTAACAATGAGGCACAACAACAAGGTAGGAACACATTTTCTGAAAATGTCAGAAAAAATGTGGAGCAGTGTAGCACTTTAAATCAAAAGCTGTTGCTGTTTTTTTTTTTTGACAGCTGATCCTTGGCGGCTGATAGAGCTCTGACTCTGTGTCATGACTGTGGTGTAATCATATTATAACCTTGTACTATGGCTCTGTGTGCCTGTGTCATTATATTGAGTGTAAACACCTGAGCTGTCCTTACATCAGTCATCTACACTCCGCTACTAAAAACCTCAATAAGCTCCCTCTCAGCACTCAGTCTGCCTCTCAGTCTCTTGTCCTAATGTTTCTCTCTTACCTCTCACTCTTTTTACCTCTCGTTTCTCTGCAAACATCCCCCTTGTTACTTTGACATCATACGGCCTCTTCTGACTATCTACCTCCTGAAACTTTGTATGCTCTCTGTCTTTTTCACTGTTGTGGTTTGGGTTCACTCTGAGATATGGACAGGTGAGCGACATGTTAGACAGTGCTCTTGATCACCATTATCAAAACAGCAAATAAGGTGACAATCTTTTGGAGGATTGGTTCTCCATCCCTACAGTAGAGTGCTAACCTGACTCAGCACCGCACTATCTGGGAAGCTGTTGTTGGAAACTGTTTGGAAGAGGGCAGGCACTTTCAAAAAATTCAGGCCAGGCGATTGGATTAACGATATATCACCATCTATTATGGGTGAACTTCCACCACTCAGATCAACAAACTACCCGTGTAGTCAAAAGATCTTTTCCATGGAGAAAAGCCTTCAGTGGCGTTCTTACCTCTACTTTCAACAAAGAAATACTCTCCAGTTCTGATATAACTGATGCTAGCAGTATCTACACTAACCTCTATAGCAGCCACCATTGTTGTTTTCAAACAGTCACTTCTCACACAGGCTGTCACACATGCATAGCGTTAAAACCACACCAGCATCTCATGCTGCAGCTGCCAGTACTTCCTGATAGGATGCTGATTGGTCCGGTACCGCTGTGGTTTGGACACAAACGCATAGCTCGAGGCCGGACAAGATGGATTCTTGCGTGCTCTCTAATCTGGTCTCCAGCTGCAAGTTTATAGTAGAGCGCCACACAAAACCTTATTCAATTAATATGTCACCCATATGTGTGTCTTGACAGTGTGGCATAACTGTGAGTGAAAACACACAGAGGTGGACACATCATGCTGTTTATATGTCAGCATTTGATTTGCCCACTAACTGTAAATCTGTCATGATGGTAATATAACTGTAACTCAACTGGCTGTGAGTTCCTTCTGTTATGTATTTTCATAAATAAAACTGTTTTCTCTTTTTGCTATGACTCAGCTATGACACAGTTATGCATTTCCCTAAGAATACATAACTCTGTTGTCAGTGATGATGGCAGCCTCCAACTACTCTTCATAATTATCTGACCCTTCGGCAGTCAAGTATATAGAAATATCCTCTGATATTGTTCAACCTGCTTCATACCATGAAACCTTAAACCTTTATCATCGTGTAAACTCACACAGCCCAGTCAGTGTCATTGCCAGTGTCTGATCTTTAAACTAGTTTACTCAGGCAATACTGTATCTAGGTACTTTTAGATGGAGAAAGTATATTTTTTGTGGCAGTTGTGTACTGGGTGTAGAGGAGAGGAATAATGTACTTGTTCCTATGCAAGCAAAATAATCAAGCATTCCTGAATTATTACAAAAATGTCTTGACGCTAGTGATCTACCTTATTTATAAGCCACCACACACTGGGGTGGACGATATCAGCCATCTGCAAGTCCATTGCTGGTGGTTTTGGTCATTTTATTTTGCTAATTTAATGGTCTGCCTCCGAAGAACGAGAGCTCAGTGACAGACATCAGCGCCACAGTAACATTACACCCACTGAGTCAATGAACAACTAAGAGGAAAAAATGCTGTAGAGTCAGAATGTTTTAACATCTAACTCTGAGAATTCTCGGGTTTAGTTTGACCAGTTTGATGACCGGGTATACAGTAACAAGGTGATTTACAGCGGCTGCAACCAAGACTCTGACTCTGGGGACAACAAAGATCGCTGGTCTGACAGCCAGATTAAAGATGTTGGATACCCACTTCTTCTATTTTCTATATACTTAATTTTGGTGTGGATAAGGGTTCATATACACTGTTTCCTGTTTTCCTACCTTCTTTACATTCCAGGGCCACTCTGGACTCCAGGTTGTCCATCTGGAGCTGCAGACGTTTCAAAGTGCGGTCGGCATCCCTGGACTTCCTCTTATAGGCAATCAGCACAGCGATGATGACCAACAGAAGCAGGCCACCGCCCCCTCCAATGCCGATAATCGCGGGAAGCGTCAGCAGGCTGTCGGAGTAGATGTGAAGAGTCCCGGGGGAATATTCGAACCCTCCGGCACGGATCTGAACACACACAAAGTACACACATTTGTTACCCAGAGAAAGTTGTTTCTTCTCGAAGCAACTCTTTGCTTTATTCATTCGGTTACATAGGAATCAATACAACCCCTCTCCTCTGCTGGTGGCCACTGAGCAGCTGCACTATCAGAGCTGAAGGTTCAGTTCACTGCTCAAAGGCAGCTCCACGCAGTCGTTAAGGGACAGGAAATTGCTACTTATTTACTTTCCCCCTACCAGATTTTCTTCAGCCAGTCCGGGGATTTGAACTATCGCCTCCCAGAGAGACATAAAAAAAAGAAAAATAAAAACTGGCAGAGGTCACTTCTCCAACAGCAGATGGTTTGAGAATAGATGAGGTGGTCTGGAGAGATCAAAAGTTGGTGGTCTGATGAAAGAGAAGTTGGTTGACCCAATTTCTACCACAAGGATCATTAAACTTTTATCTGTTCTGTACTCACACTAAACAGGCCGATCTTTGACAGGCTCATACTGGGGAGGCTTACATCACCTGGACTGCTGTGAACATTTCTTGCAGGAAAGGTTTTCAATTCTTGCCGTTAGGGGAGCAGCTTCAGAGGGTTTCGGTAATGAAGATCTCACAAGCTATCTTGTTCAGTCCTTTGAATGATTTAGAGTCTTCTGAACTGCAGATATTTCAGCTTATTTTGGTTTTTACAATAGATATTTTGTCGTTAATGTCCTCATTTATCACTGTCAGCACTCTCAGAGAACTGATTTAGGTCAGAAAGTGAACGCTGTGTACGCGAACAAGGTTAAAGGGGTGCAGTGGAGCCATACACACACAGACACACTAAAACAGTCTAGACTCTTGGAACACACACATATATACACACCATACACATGCTCACACACAGTATAAGCAATCAAACAAAGTAATCACCAGCATTTAAATCTCTCCCCAAGGAGTCTTGGTAATTATGGGAAGTCAAACACATGTAATGTTTTTTTTTTTTTCCTGACTAAATACATTTACATAAGCGCAGTGTGTCTCAGAGAGAGAGAAAAAAACAAAAACTCACAGCACTGGAATCCATCAAATCAAGCTATCCACAAGGGGGGTTGATAACCGATTAAAATGAGGTGTGATTATGCACTTTGAAGCGCTTGTAAGTGCACTTTTGCGTTAACATTATCAAAGTCTGATTAAAAAAATAAATAAAATAGAGAAGCTGTTATATCAATATCAATGTAGTCAATACCTACAAATTAAATCTGAAATAGTAGAGATAATTAGACTGGCTTGTATAAGATTAAGCAGCCAATTAGCTGTGTGGACACGATCAGGTTGCACAGAAGTTAGTTTGCAGAGGAAATTGAACTAAATTAACTCTGACTTAAATTAAAATTTGAGTTTGGATTAGTTCAGCTGCAGAAAGACTTCTCACTCAAGCTAATCACTGAAAAGAGTTCGCAAGTGACTCTGAAGATAAAATCTGAAGTTTGCACAAGCTGACAGACAAAGGTAGCAACTTGCTGCTAAACATAATAAAGCATTTACTTGTACTTTACTAATGCAGCTCAACTTGCAGTACATCACTTCCACTGGCCCTGAACAAACATCATGGCAATGGCCATAATGTCGGTCTGGAAGCTTCAGAATGGGTGATCTCATGATAAAATAAAATAAAATCCTCCAACGTATCTGCATTGTAACAACCAAAAAGACATTTGTCTGAAAATATGTGAAAATATCTGCATCTGAGTTTAAATCCTATATGCAGCCATGAGGTGCTTTAATAGGACAAGGAGTGCCAATGGCTGTAAAAGAGGTAATTTCGTATGTGAATGAGAGGGCACTTCAACATTTCCGAAAACCTCTCTTACACTCTTCTATTGATTAAGCTATGTGTGCCTAAGGCTGCTGACCTCTAATCCAGACTTTTGTTGATCATCCTTAATGTGCAATTAATGGCTGGTATAAGTGAGTTACGCAGATAATAAAACCACTCTGCAAGTATAACTAGAGCAAATTATTATGTGCTGGCATGCAAAGAGATTCAGTGGCAGTAAGGGCACCAAGTCGGTTGATGTTTTGAAAAATAAGTTCAGAGTGCAAGCTAAAATTTTGGGATCTGGAAGCCACATAGGCACCTTTTTCCCTGTGTCCCAGTAAGATAAGCAAAGGTGTAAATTTATGGCATAATTCCATTTAGCAGCTTCAGTTTCAGGGTCCTGGTATTGTGCTTGCTGGCTCACTGTCACACTGTCATGGCTTACTGGGACACTTGAATAGAACCATCATTAATAACCATCAATAACCTGCTCTTTCCCTAATATGACGAGGAAATAAATTTGCAGTCCAGCTCTCTGTTTGTTGCCACGCCATGTATGAATTAGGTTATGGAAGGAGTTTGCATGGACCCCAAAATCTGCGCTCACTTATTGTGTATGCAGTCGACCTAGAATGCAAAATCTATCAATACCAAAATGTTGTTGGAATTGTGACATTTCAAGATATTGGGTTGATTTGTTACCCCTCACATTACAAGTTGGTAATTATAATCTCATCTGAGGTCACTGGTGTAACCGATACAATTACCCTGGGGGAAATATATCAAGCAATATGAAGCTGGAAACACATTTCCTCTGCTTTTGTCTATTTATATCCTCCTGACAGACTGAAGGACTGATGGAGGAAGTTAAAAAGCTGAAGGCCAAAACAACAAACAAGTTTCTTCGAAAACTCAAGGGAGGCACACAGCTGCCAACACACAGCTGAGCATCTGAAGGGACACAAAGACACAGTGACACACGCATACAGCACTCCTTTCTGTACACCCACACATGCACACGAAAACACACACAAGCCAAGTATGTCTGGACACCCATTGGGGTCCCCTGTATGTAGGTCACTCTACATGGGGAATATTATTGTGCTACAGCTGTGCCCTTCTCTGCAGCACTGCGCACAACACACGCCAAGACGTGCGCACATAAATAAAAACATATGAGCACTCACAAACACAGTACATGTGGTGACACACACACACACACACACACACACACACTCCGCAGAAGAGATAGGAACAGACAGCTCTATTTTTTCTTCGGCTATTGTCAGACGAAGGACTAACTCCACCACCCCCGCTAACACATCGCATCGCTCCGATATTCAACATGACATTTCGTTCAAAAAAAAAAAAAAAAAAGAAAAAAAGAGAAAAGAAACAAGAGTTCCACCTTGGAACTGGCTGGCTCCGTTGAGAGCTATCATATTGAATTACATGGATGCACTGTCAGTGGCTTTCTAGGTATATTGGTTGTAGCTAGCGGGGAGTAAATGTCATAAAGATATCGTGAAATGACTGTGAAAGGACCTTGGTGACAAGTTTAAAAGGGGCAGGAGGTGGGGGAGAGCGGAGCGGGTGTACTGGCGGGATATTCAGACAAACATCCAAATATATTTAGAGTGAGTGCTGCATCGCCTGGCTTAGGTTTGACCTTCCTCAATGCAGATGCTCCAGGAGCTGTGCGCTGATTTTGAAAGTCTGCTCCAGTCAGAGTGAATCAGGGATTTCAGCCTGTTGACAGCTCAACACTGTGGACAAGTAAAGCTGAATGGTTGCTGCGGGATGCGCCTGTAAGCCTGGTCTATGACTTTTTCCCGCACTATTTCCTGCTGTATCATAAATTTCAGAAAATATGAGACAGTAGAAATGAAAGTGACATCAACAGCATTCACACGGTGGGTGGTGATAAAAAAACAACTAGTTGCAGCTTGTGACACAGAAAACAGGAACTCGACGATGATGTGGCAATGACTTTCAAAAAATGCAACTTTAGCTTGGATTTGCTGAGAGTTGGACAAAATTTGCACATCAGAAAGGTTTATACAGTGAAGGAGGCTCCTGGATTAGAGCTTAGGGACGAGCTTAGTGTCTGCGTATCAGTAGCATCCAGGAGAAACAATTCTATTCTTAATACCACCTTTTATGTTTCTGCATAACTTGAGGACAGAGCCCCACTGTTGACAATGCCTGGTCGTGGACATAAACTGCAAAAGTGGATACTCATACGCTTTTCTTATCTCTTATATTACATACGCCATACATAATTTACCTCTCTGTTTGCCCACACTCTCCTGTTTATTTTCTAGTCTTGTGAATACTACTTTTTCGTTGGATCAGGTATCCTATTATTAGCTCCTAATTTGTTTTGAGACGCCAAACTTTTTGCTGATAGTATTTTCCAAAAAAAACACAACTTGCCATGTTAGCATAGGCAAAATGTCAGGTTTACTACAAGAAAAAGTTGTGTATTTGCCTTTAATTGACACAGTGTGAAGCTATCACCACTCCTGAATCGGGCTGGCAAACTCGAGTGAGATGACGGAAACAGAGCCCCTGTAGGAGAAGGGGCATGCCGGGGGGCAATTTTAACATATAAAAGAAGAATTCTGGTGCACTCTGAGATGAAAATGGGGGAAAATAAATCAGTTTTCTGATGTGGGTATCTTGCAAAGGGTTCAAAAAAAATCTTGACAGCGGCACAGTCCCCGGCAACTCAAACCCCACCACGCAGACGGACTGTGAAATTCAGTTTAACAGCATTATATTCTAGTGCATAATTAGATCATGAATCGACAGAAAATGATTAATTCTGATAATCAATTATTATTGTAAAAACTGATGTGACTGCTGGTTAAAGTAATTTGCAGATGCCAACGTGGGCACTGGGAAATTGTGGGGGACATTTTCCACTCTTAACTGACATTTTATAGACTAAACAGTCGACAAAATGATCGACAGATTAATTAAGAATAAAAATGTAACTGTTAATTGACGCAATAATCATTTGTGCCTTTTGGCCTGTACCGAGATATCGAGCGCTTGTTGTTGTAGCTTAGCCATGTTCCCGTTTCTTCCTTTTTTGAATGGCTTAAGCAATGCTGGCAGTGAAACTCCACAGATGCCATTTCATAAGGTTTTCATGGATTTCATAGATGCATCATACAAATAAAAGTTACAGTCAAGATACAGTAGCAAAGGAGGTGTCAGTCCCGAGAGTGAATGTGATGAAACTGTAGCTTTTCTGGAGAATTAGTTGTGTTAAGACAATGTGAGTGTGTGGGATTTTACATAGAAACAATACCTGCAGGTGTTTTGATGCACATTGAATGACGGCGGCTACAAAGCCTTGAGATGCGAATCACTGGCATTCCATAGAAAAATAGGCGAACCGAATTTAAAGGAACCGCGACAGGAAAAATAGCTTCTTACCTCTGTCTATATTACAAAACTTTAGTCAAGCAGGGCCTGCATCAAGTGGAGGTGTAACTGGTTTGCTCACTCTGAGCGTGTGGGATACACCAATCACACTGGTCACTGGTCACAGAATTCATTGATTTTCATTTCAAATGATGCCAAATGGAAATCAGTTGACAGGCGTGTATGTTAGGTGTAAATGAATTGTATTGAATTAAGTAATCTTGTAAGCTGTTTCATCGGGTGTGGACGGTATGAATCAAACACGCCTGAAGTTGCAGTGAGCATTCTGGACATCTGTTTGACACGGCATGCTCAACAGCAGTCTCAGAACGAGCTAAATGTGACAAAGATTGGGGTATAATGTTGGGCTAAGTGATGATGCAGGGAGAGATGTACGGAGCAGCGGTGATAGCGTATAGCTTTGATTAGAGTTTAGTGAGTGCGGTGGATTGGCTTGTGGATTTACTGAGGGTTGGGTACATTCTATTATGTGTACTATTAAATGTCTACACCATCAAAGCAGCAGCTAATAAAAATACATGACAAATGGAGACGGCACCGAGGGACTTAAAAACTTCTCAAATCTCACACCAGCAGCACCTGCAGCAAAGAACTGCTGACGCCTGCACAGCTGTTGACGTGGATACGCTTCAGCGGAGAAAAAGAAACATGGTTTTCAATCTGCAGACATGTCTGTAGGTTCACTGTGGTCATGTCGAGCGTGTTATGTGAACAAGTGAATGATTTTCCTGTGACTTGCGACATTTCAAACACTTAATGGATTTAACTGAACATTAGCAAAGTCTGCAGATCTGTGCTTTGTATTTTAAATGTGCACTTCATTTATATATTTATCAGGGTTCTGGTCCTGTGACAAAACTCAACTTCCACTGCAGGCTAGCTGAAGGCCAGTGAAGATCAACATGTTAATTAAGCGTTACATATTTAACAGCAGCCTTGGTGTGCAAGCTCAATGGAGCGTATCCTGCATCTGTCAGAGGAAATTGTTTAGAAGAGACACGAGGGGTTATTCACATAACTCAACAACAAGGTTAGAGTGACATTATGGACTGAGATTGGAAGGCTTCAATGTTTTCATATTCATAAAAATGATTTACTGGCTCAATGTGGATATACCAAGTAGAACATGTGTTTTTTTTTGTGTCATTTTATAAATTGTTTTTGGAATAAATCCTGAAAACTGAAAACTGACCCAGTTATTTAATGAAAACGAAAGATAAGAAATAAAATGACATTAAGAAAGAAGTCAACCGTGAAGGTCTCAGCCCATAATATCGAGCGCGTCTTCTTTCAGATGATCCATTCAAAGCATGCTGGTGCGAAATGGGTCAAAAAAGTGCAACATTTTTGGAAAGTCAAAGTCACATCAAGTCACATCAAAAAAGTCACAGTTGAAGAGCTAAAGGACGCAGAGTCGTGATCTGACCGTGACTTTGTGTTGTCCGGTGAGGTTGGGCCATTCACACAGCAGCTGGCTCTCAGACAGGGTGAGGACGCAGGGAGTTTCTCCAATCAGCACCGTGTAGTTGAGGCGACTGTTACCCGGAGCCGCTGGGATCAGGTTACGACCCTGAACACAGACAGAGAGACATGTGGTGAGGATAGGCGTCCAGATCATTTATGCACACTTCATTCCCACACAGCCGCTGGTAAGACCTGATTGAATTGTAGGAAAGATTGTTATTAAATATCATATTTAACTACAAAAGGTACCATCAAACGCACAATGAGCTTGTTCAAAATGGCTGTGATCATATGGTTCTCACCAGGTTTCTGTAAATAAATGCAGAGAAGTGAGTCACTGACAAATATAATTGCTCATTTAGAAACTCTTAAAGGATGCTCTTTTACCAAATCCCACTGAACACAGGTCACAAAAACATAGTTTGATAAAAAAAAAAAAAAAAGGGCACAGAACTTCCTAAAACAGCTTGACACTGAAGTTTTTAGCAAACTTTATCAGTAGTAAAATACATTTTCAGACTATTTTCAGCTCACTTGCACACTTGCTCTTGTGAGGATTTATGACAGCAGGACTGAGAATAAACTACAGTGTCCATGTTCATCATAATGAAGGAACTTGTCACCCAGTGCAACGGTGTGGCTCACTGATGTGTTTTTAATAGTACTTGGACAGAAAGGGAGCTCTACGGCACAGAGGAATAAGATATATCAGGCTTTGGATAAACAGGCAACACTTCATGGGTCTTTTGTTCAAAATGAAAAAAAATATAAAATATCACAAGACTAATTCTTTAAGCAAAAACCGCTTGTTTACTCATTTGCAATTCAATTCAGTGTTGTGCTTGTGACTGTAGAATCGCTGATTCCTGTTCAACTGATTGTGTTTTAATGTAGGAATTGTGTTTTTCAATCAAGCCAAAAACCAGAGGAGACATAAACAGGAAGATGAGGAGAGAGAGGAGGGTGGAAAAGTACACAACACATACTGTACACACTACATAGTGCAGTGTAGTTAGGAGGCAATAGCTCTCACCCACATACACCAACACTGTTAAGTAAAGTCTGTACCGGAGGTGTGTAAATTCTAACATTTGTCAATTTCGCTTCCAGTTTTTCATTTCAATATCAAGTCCGCTAGCTCCAATTTGACACACACTTTGTCTGTGATGAAACAGGGGTGCAGTTAGTGGTGTGAGAAGAGGGAACCCACCTAACAGCAAGAAAACAAAAAGCAACAGGGGGAAAGATGAATACAAAGAAAAACAAGACGTGGCAGGAAAACATCAGGAGAGCGGGCGTGAGGAGTGGAGAGAGCAGAGGAAAGATTACGAGAGGGGTAGAAAAAGATGAAAGGGATATACTCTAAAGTGAGAAAGAAAAAGGGATTGAGCAGAAAACAGAGTTGGTGAGCGAGCCTGATAGACAGAGCGAGGGAGAGAGAGAAAGGAGATAGCTGCCGTGTCTCCCGCTGGCTTAGCAGTGGGACGCAGAGACAGACTCCGTTTTCCAATCCCATCGTCTCTGCAGGCCGCCACCCAGCCCCGCTCTGCAACCCTGTAAACATGCATCCCATTCCATCTCTCTCTCACACACACACACGTTCAAGCCACACATGGAGCTGTTGCCACACATACACACTACAGGCAAGAAGCATCATGCGGAGACACACTCTCAAAAAACACACAAACACACGCACGGGGGAGCACTCACAAAACACCAAGACCGGATAAATGTTTTCTCTCTTGCTAACACACCTCAGTAAAAACCCACCCGACACTTCAGATGAGAAATTAATTGTGTGGCGAGCGGAGTGCACGCATTTCAGAGAAATGTAACCCCCCCTCCCCACACACACACAAACCCCACCCCACCAAATTGCATTTTTGTCCATCTCATCAGCGCTTCCAACGGGTAGGCAGTTCCACCAACAAGCCAAGCAGGAGATTTGGCAATTACTGAGAGGCTCTTTGCTAATAAATTATCATTTAAGAAATAAATTACAATGGTTACGCTGCTTTCAATCTCTTCATGGGAATAAACAGCGTAACACACTCTCTGTGATAACATAAGAGATAGTCAAGGCAAATTCTGGCAGGAGATAAAAGCGGCAAACACTGGATTCAATGCAAATGCAACACGTCAGTGTGACACTGATCTAAAACAAATGAATATTATATTGTCCCTTTATTGTGCACTCTCAGGAAAGATGTAAATGTGTTTAAATATTTTACACTATATAACCCACATAGTGTCAGCAGTTAAGAAATCTTCTTCCACTCAAAAATCTGTTTTCCTTCTTCTTGTTGGTACAGTGTGATGTTTGAGCATCACTGTACAGAACGATGTATGTGTAGAGTTTGACACTAGAAAGATGTTTTCACATGTTTTCATTTTTAAGGGGAGGGCCCTACCAACATGATTTGTGACATTACAAATAGTCAGTCCTTGTCCTGTATGCAACTTGTACAGTGTGATGTAGAAAACCTGAAGCCACCAGTGCACATCCACTGAAAATGGACTTTACAGTGAAGTAGGAGACATCTTTAGAAACTTTAGAAATGAACACAATTTGAATATTCATAGATTGTGGAATTTTTTATGAGGTAGTGGGAGTAGATGACTTTCTAAGGATTTCAATGTGAAAATATAACTTTATTGCATAAAAAAACAGACCAGATACACATTATTGTGCCAAGCAGACTATTTGTATATATGCCATAATACATGTCTGGAGGGAATCTTTAAATTATTTTCTATGTCAGTTACTTTAGTATTAGTAATAGCACATATATATTCCCCCTTAAACAGCCACTCTAATTCCCCTCCAATCACTCTTTGGCTAAACATTTCAGGTGAGCTCAATGAGATAACGCTCTGCCACATACACACTACTCAGAAATTGCCAATTAATTTCATATACTTATGTCCAATCACTGTTAATGAAAATGAAAACCAATATAATCCAAGTCTCCTGGACCGTGGGCTTGTGTGCTTCCACACTGCCCTTCCAGCACTAGAAATTAATTACACAAATTGAAAGGACTGTTATTTAAGAGGGCTCGAGGCTGCAGAGGAGGATGGCAGTCAAAGAAGTTTGTTAGTTACTGAAGGACAGATATTGGCCTTGGAAAGTGTGGACGTTTGCTTTCAGCTTTCAATTATGAATTTGTGAGATTTTTTTTTCTTCCCCTCTGAGAGACCTTGTAAACACATTGGTTTTTTTCTTTGGTGTGAAAAAAGATGTCAGTGAATGTGTGTGTGTGTGTGTGTGTGTGTGTGTGTGTGTGTGTGTGTGTGTGTGTGTGTGTGTGTGTGTGTGTGTGTCTGACTGACTATGTAGGCTTTGGCATTATTAATAGAAGATAGGTTCAATATGTTTGAGACTCTTGCACTGAAAGTAGAAACACCTTGGGAGAAAAACATCTACCACTACCTGAAACCTTGATTCAAATAAAATATTTAGGATGTATGTACAGGTGTACACACACATGCTGCATTTTAAAACACTTTTTCTGTATTGCTGCTCAGCATCAAATATTCTCTTAAAAATCAATGGTAGTTAAAAAAAACAGAAGCTTATCTATTACTAATCTAAGTATCTGGTGTATAGTATCTAGTGTCCATATTATTGGCTGAATGAACCTTCAGCTCTGTTTGCACTGAAAGAATGGTGCCACTCTGCAAAGCAGACTGACTTAAAGGAACTGACCCTCCGCAAAACCCCTTCCCAACTGTGGTTGTCAAATCATAGCTTAGCAACAGTATAAGCACGGCAGCTCTGTCAAGCTTTGGATTTCTCCAGTTGTTTGAGTAGTGTGCATGGATCGTGTAAGTGTGATGCTGGCATCTACAGATGTTGGAGGGTAGTGTCAGTTTTTTAAGCCTTTACCATAGCCACAAGAGCAAAAGTGCAAGGAATGATTAAACAGCATGTTTATCTGCTCCAACGTAAGATGCAAACATTAGAATGCTAAGTAGCTTACTAGATATGGAAGTAACCTATCATCAGCTTGTGGGGTTACAGGTTAAAACAAAAAAAGAGCCCCATTTACAGCTAGTACATCCACTGTAGCATTTCCCTACTCTGTGGAAACCAATCCTGGATGCCATCAGAGTTTAGAGTGGCCTACTGGTTTTCATTGGTACAATATTAGGTATGTAAATGTAAATAAATTGAATATTAAAAATTCTTATTCTAAAACAAGACAGCCAGACACTTTAAAGACTAATTCAGAGACACGGTATTTAACAAACTTAAAGGTTAATGGTAACGTTATTAACAAGCGGATCAAATCTGCCTGCAACAGTTGTCATTTCAGGAGACAAAACCAACGGTTGCCAGCTAGAAATACAGTAGAAAGCCTCATTTTGTTCACCTCTGTCTGAAATTAAGGGTCTGTTGCTTCAAAAATTACTTAGAATCTTGAGTGGTAATCTGCCACTGTAATCATTGTAAACTGCCGTGCAAGAATATAAAGTTTCCCAGTGATTAAAGGGGGCTAAAGCTTTGTGTTTAGGTCAGTTCATTTTCACTATCAAATCTGACTTGATGGCTTAATATAAATTGTAGTGATGCTCTAAACAATAATCCACCATTAGCAAACACCTTTACCATGTGATTTGGCAGATCATTTTCTAACACTAAGTAAATGTAACAATTTTCAATGCTGTGTAGGCGTCAATGGCCTTATTCCCACTGCATAAGCTTTCTAAAGGCTGTGCACATAAGTCTCTTCATCTTCACAACTGCATTGTAGAACGTCCCTGACAAGTTAAAAAGTGTTTATAAAGCTCTAGATAAGTAGTAGCAGTAGCTAGTGCTGTTTGGGAGGTAAAAACTCAGATCAGAGCACTGATAAAATAAACTGAAATGTACAGGCAGGCAGAGAAAAGTCTCTCAAAAACAACACTTCTGCCTCTCTGACCTTGAGAATGAGTGGCGATGTGGGTTTGAGCTCCAGTATTCCAGAGGGACTGAGTGGTTCGAACACGGGGTCGGGGTAGTAGCTGAACGTCTCGTTGACCACCACCAGAGCATTCACGTTGTCCATGTAGAACCCGATCTCATCCGGGCCGGTGCCGGTTTCGGAAAAACCCAGCTCTGAATCCACCACCGATGGAGCCAGGCACACCATGACTGAGTTGTTATACACTGTACAGTTCTGAAAACGACAGAGAGGAAACAAATAACAATGGCTATGGCATACATTTATAGTAAATGGAGAATCTACTATAAATAAGTAGGGGAAAAGAAAACTCCTGAAGGCTTCTTTGTATTAAACTATACATAGACTAAATGCGGACAGAATGCTAAATAAATGTCATCATAATCTAGTTACAGTTCTATTTAAAAGAGAATATCATGTATAAAACAGGTAGCACATCCTCCCTCTGAAATAATGAGAACAATCTGCAGGCTGTCATTTGCTTTTAAAATAGATCTGTTGGGTATAATAACCCATCCTTTTTGGAAGTCAATGTCCTGTGAAACTGCAATGCTGTTAGACCTATTGGAAATGTAAATTGGTTGCAAATTTATGATCAACTGTTAATAATGGGCAATGTGCTGTGTGCCTTTGCTTGTACCAAAGAATATTTTACATCATTGCTTTGGAGAATACATGAATATATGGTGTCATAGCCATATTTGCTTTAATCTGTAGGACTGCTTGGAGGACCATACCGTTTATTTGCATGTTTTAGACCTTTTACTACAAATGTATTTTACACTGAGACCATGAAGTTTTGCATACAGAAGAGAAGTTTAAGAATGGTTGCTTTATTGACTTTGATTCAAATACAACTGGATATATAAACAAGTATAGTAAATGGAAAAATATAACCGATTGGGGTACCTGTAGACCCAAGAGGTATAGTTTTGGTCATATCTCATAGGTGCTTTATCATTCCAATTTTTCATGACCCTCGTCAATCAATTTGTTCCTAATGACTTCATATTATCATATTATTATTATCTCTCAGGCATGTCTCTGCATGCTGGCCATCATACAGTAATCAAACGAATAAGACAGGCTGTCTGGAAGGTTAAAAAAAGGTTTTGAAAAATGTAGAACGCTATAGTACGCTTTGGAAAATGTCTGTAAGTTAAGTATCTGTGATTTGTAGTAAATTGGCGACAACATTAAAAAACATCAGCATAGTCCTTTAAGTGCAAAGTAGCACTTTGATAAAGGGCTGTGTGGGATGCATCATGAGGGCTGTTTGCCTCAATAAACGACGGCTTTATCTGCAGGTTGAAGTGCCTTATTATTGTTTGAAGTTCAGTTCTTCACCCTGACAACTAAAGAGCTTCAACTCGCAGTGGCAATCACCAAAGTGCTTTGTGAACATTATCTATAGAATTGATGAAACGCGTCAGCCCTTCAAATAGAACTTCACATGGTTTTTCATGGATTTTTTTCTTTCTTCTTAATTCCAAAAAAAAACATCCCCCGTCTCTCTCTCTTTCTTTCACTCACACACACACACAGTCTCTCTCATGTTGTCTCTTCTTTTCTGTGACACAAACGCTCATGTGGTGCGCTGACATTTGAAAAGCTATGTGGCCTGAGGTAGCGTCAGATGTCTGAAGCTGTAGCTGAGGAGAGAGAAGACGTGAGCAACACACAGAGACAGACTGTCTGCCACCTTCAGCAGTACTATAGAAGTAGTTGCCTGCAGATGTGCATGTGTGTGCGGAGGGTATGAATATATGTGTCAGTTAATGTAGGTACTCTGTGTGTGTAAATCTCAATAATGTATACTGTATGCTAAGGTGTGTTTGTGAATTTATATTTGTGCATATGGGCTTATGTGTGCCGGTCTGCGTGCATCATTCACAGCAATACTCACATGAAAGGATTCTGCCTGTCCATACTTGGCCCTGATCTTCGGTTCTCGGATGGTTGCAAGGTTGGTCCCACTCACGGTCAACAGAGTCCCACCACTGTAGGGACACAAAGGAAGACAGTAGGAGAAGAAGAAGAAGAAGAAGAAGAAATGTGCGCTAGGTGGGCAAGACCTTTTCCAAGGCAAATAATTCTCTACCCAAAGCTATTTCTGTTTGGTAGTGCCATGTGCAAGATGGACAAATGTTCCCAAAGAAAAGTTGGTAAGAAACATTCTTTTTCTACTTTGCCAAAGCAGCACTGTGGCAGAAGGCAATATCCGATTATAACATTGAAATTAGGGACCACTGAGCTGTAATAAGGGAGAAACATACATTATGAGAAAAGTCACAACTTGCAGCCAGCATAACATTTCCTAAGCTAAGTTTAGATACCACCAATTTGTTTTCCCAATTACCTTGTGGTGTCAGACATAATTGCTGCCTGGAAGGCTACGTTTTTTTTCAAGTGAATGAAGTGCTACAGTTATATGATACAGAGGAGTCATAGGATGGATGGCCAAAGTGCAGGATTTTGACACCAAAGACTGGGGTTCAAATCCTGAGTACAACAGCACTATGGTTAAGATTAGGAAAAGATTGTGGTTTTGGATAAATGTTAATTAACACGTCCCATATCGTGCCTTAGTTCACCAATGACATTTTCTTAAACCAAGGCCATGATCGATTTAACCAAAAACAAGTGCTGTGAATGCTTACGTATAACCATAAACTTTTCATAATGCTGTACGTGCTACGAGCAAATACTGTATTGCAAAAAATACAAATTAAATACATTGGCAGTGAACAGTAACAATACAATATTGTACAACTTGCTAGGTATATTAATTAACAACAGTTTGTTATTATGGTAAAAAAATGTAACCATTTTGCAGGAAAGAAATAAAAGAAAGACTGACTCCCAGTGTACTGTGGAGTAACCTGAGCTTTAATATGGCTTAGAGATGAACACTTCACAGTGGAGTTTACAAAGAAAAAAGGAGAGAATGACGACATGAGAGAGCATACTGTATGTGCGAGTGAAAGTCAAAGAGAAAAAGGAGAAAGAGAGAGTAAGAGGCACACTTAAAAATTGAGTGAGGGGGAAAGATCCAGAGAGAATCTCTACATTCTTTAATCACAACTCTATACTCAGTAAATATGTGTTTGCCTTGAGTCTGTGAAGGTCACTGGACTGAATCCAGTAAATAATGATGCCAGAACTTGGCTGAAGCCCCAGGCTTCATTTTGTTGGTGAGTAGTGTGTGAAGGCAGACTCACACCTGCTTGGTGTAAAAATGTCTATTTGGTTGGATCAGTTCTTAAAAGATTTCACTCTTCTCCATGATTGCAAATGCTTGTAAATTTAAAATAACGGCTGATTGGTTTTCAAATTTCACCGGGCAAATTGTGTTTTTGGAGTTTGGGATGCAAGTTTCAGAAAATCTTAAGTACTCTTCAGTGCTTTCCCACGTTGGTCTGACACAATATGATTGACTGACTTTGACCTCCCACAAGTCAAAATTACTAGTGCTCAGAAAAGATCAGGAAGTACACCGTAAAAATAAAATCTTTATTATAGGACGACTCTTGCCACTTATAAAGACAATAGAGAAAGTCTGTCCTTTTCACTGCTACACTTAAATTGGATTTATGAGGTTTTCATGAAAGATATCTTACCTTCTGGATGCCTACCTTGTTTTACAGTGGTAGTTGGTAACCTTTGAGTACTCTACTCTGTTTTCTGCTAGGACATCACTGCATTTCACTGCTGCCTAGACTATCTGTGCCTCTGAAAAATATATTTCATAAGATTCCCTATCGTGTGTCTTTCCGCAGGTTTCTCACTGCCTGGAGGGAGATATACCGCAGTCTTTCACACTGCTGTCTGAAATAAAAGGCTGAGATAAAACCTTGTTTCCTGGAAAAGTCATTAACAACGTGCAGCTTCCTTACTGCACACTGGGCACCAAAGCATTTTTGAAAAGATGCAGTGGGCATCCAATGGGTAATCTGGGCCTTGGTGAAGTCTGCAGTTCAAACACCCATAGCCAACACCCATGGTTGTGATATTTAGCTAAAAAAGGAATCTCATCTCTCTGCAGACATCTTATAGGCTGGATCTGGAGTGCAATGCACCTAATTCTCTGCTTAGATATCCCAGTGCCGGACTGCTGCCTTCACTATCTACACCTTTGAGACAAGTGTTTTTAGGATTTATCCCCTCTGTTGCTTGGGTCTCTTCTGTGGTAACAACTTTCTGCAGAGGGATACTGCTGAGGTAGGGAATGGCCCATTGCCACTGCTAGGACTATTTAACGACACAAGTTTCTATTCTGTAGACTGAGTCGCCACTTTTTCTTTTGCCGTTATAGAATATTTTGGAGCTTAACCCCAAAGTATTATTGGAAACATTGGAAAACTCTTGGTATATCTTGACCAATCATCTTTGCCAACCTGTACACTGTGGAGTCCCTGAAATATCAAAGGGAGCTGGCCCTGTAAAATGGTGGTGTTTTCCCTGTTACTTATCCCTATTCCTCATCCACAATTTCCCCAGGATTCATAATAACTTGGATGGCTGTGAGTAATCCTGCAAGTCTGCATGTATTGCGAATAATACTTTCTGCCATTTGTGTGTACTTCCACCTTTTGCAACTGCAAGTGGAAGAGTGCTGACTCCATCAATTACCCACTGTTTCTAAACTGTAGGGATTACAATGTGATGGCTAGAGCTGACAACCCTTTTTGCCTCTACACCAGTCAAGCTTAAGATAGGCAAGGGAGTCCCTGACAAGGAAGGTAGGACTTCCCTGTGGTAGTGTAAGTTGTTGCTAAATCAGGGAAAGTTCCAGTGCTCCCTGCAAGATCAGGTATCAGGTCCAACAGGTCATAGATCCAAGGGTTATACAGGAAGACATAATGACTAAAAAGTTATGTTGTAGGATCATGCCGCTTACTGAGGTATTGGGTAAGTCTTCATCCCTGGCTCAGCTTGCAGTTCAGAGAAAACCCTCTCCAACCCTCCACCGCAGAATGATGAGTGGTGGGTAACCATGTGTTACCACTGATTTCTGCAATGTGCAGGTGTCTTTTCATGACATTTCATTGACACTTATCCAGAACGACTTAGTGTACAATCACCAACAGCAGTGATATGGTGATACGAAGCAAAGGCCAAGCCTCTTTATATGTTGGATAGTCTGGCTGGCTAATGCCAGACATTCATCTCTTAGTCTGATCCAGGAAGACTTACAATTTCAGCAAACGGTAATGATAGGGAAGAAAAGGGAGTAAATGATGAAGGTAGACACCATCTTTGGTGTTGTTGGTAGACAAAAGGATTCAAGTCTGGCTATTCTTCACAGCTACAGTTTTCTTTTCTTTTGGCAGGTTGCCCATTACTGGCTGAGGAGAATGGGTCCCATTCATCCTAACAGCACTATGTGTATGGTATGATTGTAGAGTTATGGAGGCATCAAGTCTTTGGTATTTTCACAGTTGGTGTAGGTGCAGCAGTAGTTCTCTGATTGCCTCTATTTGCATTTGCTTTTTGTAATACGTATTATTTTCATTTCTACTACAGCACTGTCATCTTAAGGAGCCAAATTCAGCTTAAGCAATTGGAAGTGAGACACTTCAATTCACTACGGCTGAGTGCCATGAAACTCTGCCATGACGTGGTAGAATTAATTTTGTACAAATCAAGTATGTTCTGTCGAGCAGAGTGTAATTAATGTTAAGAAGTTTAAGTTGTAATATGGTGATTGTAACTTCTATCTAAACTCTTGTAATGATTTTTTTAATTTCCTACGTTACACTTTGAATGCAAATTAGTTTTCTGATGTGTCACAGCAAGGGAACACTCCTTGATTCTTCATATATTAGTATGGACTGTTGCCATGATTTATTTAGCAGAATTATACATAATAATAAATATTCTAAATATTAGTTCTTATGATTGTATGACATACAGTAGTACAATACCCTTTAAAACCTTAAGGCCTGTATATGCTATATACTGTAAACATTGTTTGCATATATACTACATGAGATGCTAACAAAAGAAAAAAAGTCACCTAACAACAAAGGAGCAATGGAGCAGAGGCCACATTCAGATTAACTGACTACGATGTTTATGCCATTGCCACAAATGCATCATGGGACTAGACAGACTGCACTTAGAACACTGCCTGTCCTCTGCCTCCTTCTCCTTTGCCCCTCTCCTCTTCTCCTCCTCTCCTCTTCAGCTTGATGTATATTTGTGCTGAGTCCCTCCGTCCCTGTTGCTCCTCTCTTTGTCTAAGTGAGTCTCTTTAGCTCAGGTACATGCTTTAGGGAACAGACAACAAGACAATCAGGATAAACTCTCAGGGATAGCTGGGGAAATCCAACCGCTGTTGTTAGTGTTTGTCTCTGTCTGCTCACTCCCTCTCGTGCCATCTCTGTCCTTTCTTTCTGTTTTACTGCTCTCTCAGTTTTCCTCTTTTCTCACACTCTCTTCGGTCTAATCCTCCTCTTATTGACTGTCAAATATGTTTGGCTCCATTTTTCATACAGCAGGGGATGCTTAAAAGCTTCCCTGTTAGTTGACCGTAGTTGCCTCAAGAGAGTTTTGATAATATGAAATGGGGGAAGATTAGCTAGACATCACAATAAATACAAAACCCAACAAATAATGGATAAAATAAATGAAACACATACACAGCATTTACTTTTGTGGCAAAATCAGTTAGTTTAAATGGAATTGCGGCTATCGGTGAATTCACTCGTGAATTCATATGAATCTTTTGCTTGAAGTTAATTTTCGATGAACTCGGACACACTAATTTGCGCTGCCATTACAGCCAATCTCGCCAGTGCTGTTGGAGAGACTGAGAGTCCAAAATGGAGGACGCTATCATAGCCATCATACCTTAGCTGTGTTCCACCATCATGTTTTATTAAACCTCTGTTTGAGTATAAAATGTTCCATAAAAGTGGCATACTTTGACAGTTATAGGACAACATGTAGCCTATCTTTTGAATGAAGTGTGAACTAAATGTCCCCTTTTAACAACCGATCGCTAACGAGCTTGCTAGCGGGAATAGTTAATTGCTCGCTAGTTAATTAGCGGTTAACAAGCTAGCTAGCATGAACAACTTCTTTGTCCCTCTTCAATAACTTCATTAAATGAAATGATGTACACAATGCCAGTAAACAGCACAGCAGAGAGAAAATAGCTCGGAAAGCTATTAGGGCTGACTAGTGCTAGCATGTTCCTAGCTTGCTAGCATGTCATTCATTAGCTCTTCAACTACAATAGTTCACCAAATATCCCTGCCACCACATCACAAAGCCTCTACCTAGTTTGTGAGCATGTGGTGGATGAACTGTAATTAAATAAATACTTCAATAAATACAGTTGCTTAAGGCGTGGCAAACCCCATATGTATCTGCTTTATATACTCCAGTTTAGGAGAATATTTGAATATTTAAAAATTGCCTCTCTAACCTCTGCTGTTGCCCAAATATCTTTCCTCTGTATCCCAGATGAGCACTCCCCATTGATTTATTTTTGAAGTGCTCTGTCTTCTTCCTAAATGGAATATCATCAGCCAAGCACAATGATAATGCAATCCCCACCCCTCCCTGCTCTTTTCTCTTCTCACTTCATCCTGCTATCATCACCCAAGCACAGTGATAATGCTCTGCAGGCGTGCATGTATTCGCACAAAGTGTCTACCTTCGTGAGTCAGACATGAATCAATGTGATCACATCTCACTGGTTCCTTATACTTTCTACCTGAGCCAACATGTGATACTGTGAGAGAGGGCACTGGCTGAAACGCATCAGCTAAATTAAAGCTTCCACTCGCTGGAAGCAACACACACACTTTATGTCACATCTCAGTTGTTGTTTTTTTCACCGCTGTTTGTGAGGTGTGTGTGTGTGTGTTGTTTTATGGTTTTCTCAGCCAGATGGAGGAGGGATCTGGGGCCAAACATCAGGGACTCTGGGAATCAGTGGGGTGCGTGTGTGTGCGCATGCATGTGTCTTTTTTTATTTGGGATCATCACCCCTGGGTGAGCTTCCTTAAGCAGAACCTCAGTTTAGAGCTACACACACACACACACACACACACACACACACACACACACACACACACACAAAACACCCTCGCAGTGGGCGTGCAGGGCAGTGATTGGGCCTCAGCTGCTGCTCGGCCAGTCCTACTGGGTAAAAGGAACAGGGCGGGATTCATCAACACTCTTTTTCTAACAAGCTCTGCATCTATCTGCTACCATCTACTGATGAGTCACCACAGGGAAGAAAGCAACACAGAGAAGGACAGAAAGGAGCAGGTGGGAAGGAGGTAAAATGAAGGGAAACAGGGCAAGATAGCTGCATGTTTCAATATCTTGAAATAAATTAAGAAGACAGGGAATAAAAGAAAAAGCGGAATAACGGATAATAAAGAGAGGAAAGGTGTACAGCAGATGTTCTGACATCGGACAGGTGGGTAACATAATACTGTAAACTCATTAATCAGGATAGAATTGTAGGCACTGCTGCATCACAGGAGGTGGTTTGCAATATACAAACATATTCTGCAGGAAAATCTTGACCTTCGTCAACAGCTGGCATACAGCTCTTAGAGATACACTAAACATCGAAAATTATAAAAGGACCAACAGATGCCAATAATCAGCGGGTATTTGGGATTGCAATTAATACCGCAGTAGTGGGAGGGAAACCAAAAACATATGCGCCCCTGACTGATTAGTCCAAGCAATATTCAAATCCCCAAACTTCCAAACTAGAAACAGAACCAAGGCTGGCCTTCAGAAAAGCTACCAGAGAAAAAGGGATAGGTTCTTCGCTACCAACCCAAGTCTCCACTATAAAGATACAATATGTGCGTGTCTTCCCTGCCAGTAAATTTACTTTAATGTGAAAGTCTTTGCTTGTGTGTGTCCTCCCCAGTGGCTCTCCTGTCATGTTCAATGCTGAGCAGTGCAGGGTCTTTATTTATTTAGCTGAGTATATACAGTACTGCATGACAGGCTGGGGATAGCTGAGAATCAAACTGAGGGATTGCATTAGTTCAGGCAGAGAACTTTAGTCTCGCACACCATCAGCTGATCGGTATTAGTTTAACATTCAAACAATCAATGGGATGTATAATCTGACAAACTGACACTCCCCATTTTCGGATCACCCAAGCTGCTGCTACTGCTGATGATTCCCTGCACTAAAAAACATCTTGCTTGAGCCAGATGAAAAATCTCCGGAGGCACCCTCAATTTATCTATATCCAGACCCGCTGTCAGGGCTCTCATCTAGCATTTAAGTCTGCTCAGACTGCTTCAAGAACTCTTCCTTAAATTTGTCCTGCTAATGCTGCTGCATCACAAGCAGTAGTGTAAACGTTAAGGTCGAAACCCGGGTCCTCAAGCCACTGGCCTTTCTGAATATCCACCCTGCATTCTAAAAAACATTTAACAGGAAACAACAGCTTTGGTTTGTTGAGCTCCTTGCAGAAATCCTCCAACAGCCATCTGTTGCTATAACTAGTCAAATTTCCTCTAAACCAAAATCTGTTATTTGGTGAGATGGTGAGCTGCCCAAACACAAGATACTAAGTCATGCCAATTTGTCTAGAAGCCCTGGTTGGGCTACAAATGAGCATTGTGAACATAAATGGACTAAATACAAGAAGTTTATTAAACTAAGTAATTCTGTGAAGGAAGTAATAACACAACACTATAGCTTACCTGGCAATGCTCCAGTCAGGTTCAATCCTCAGGACGGTGGGGTCGTCAGTGTAGTTAAACTTGACCTCTGGGTTTCTGAGCTCAGCGTCATCGATGTCCACAAAGACTGATGCACTGCCCGGTGCTATTCCAGCTGGTGTAACGCACACTATCTCACGGGCATTCCTCCTGGATGGACGGACAAAAGAGAAGTTAGAGGAAGGTGATCCCGAACCCAGGCATTAGACAGCTAATTGTAGAGGCCGGCCAGAATCAATATCAACTCAAACAATTGCTAAATTCCCACAACAATTGCTAAATTCTCACAAAGCCAGCTAAAATCTAAACTACAATGTCATAAGAAATTGTAATGAACTGATATTTGACAGATATTGAGGTTATGCTTTCTCTCAGGAATTTCTAATAAAATAGAGCGATCTGTGATACAAATGCATACAAGAATGTACACGACTGGGAGAAATAAACAATTCACACTTTGAACAGAGAGAACAACAGTGGAAGGCCCTCGACAATATCCCACAAAGAAGCTGTCTAGAGTCTGATCACTCTAAAAACAGAATTAGAATAATAAAAAGGCAATGATTACTTTCTCATGCCAGGGCATTCCTTAAATACTGAGGTCCAAACTGAAGCATTGACATATTTAATGACTTGCTCATTGTGCTTGTAATTACCAGTGTCCAGTCTGGGAAGCCAATTAGTCTCATTCTCTTAAAACCATATTGTAGCCCACTAATGTGATTAGATAATTCCACTTGTGACCAATGCACTTCCGCTAGCAAGTCTGTCAAGTCCTGCGAGATGTCCTGGCCTGCTGGATCAACCACAGCTGGAGCTTTTGATAACAGCAGTGTGAGCCACTGGCAACAATGTATATAGTGTGTGCATTGTACTGTCTGTAGCCATGTTTAAAGCTGGTATTAAGATGTGATCTGTTTTTGCATCCATTTGATAATGACATCTGATCTGTGGGCCTATGTGCTTACACCCACTTTTAATAAGTGTTCCCTTTATCTTGTTTCACCTGTGTCAGATCTCAATATGCAAATGAGTTTAGTCTGGGCAGGCAGACTTAAAAATTTGGTCACGTTGTAAGGACTGCATTTACATCAGGCTGAGATCCAATCATAATGCAAGGTAGACTACATCTGAAGGGGGTGTGACTCAGATCACATCGTGTCAAGGGGGTCTGTAACGCTGTGTTGAAATCCCTGTTTTTATTGCCTTTTATGTGGATGATACTCTTTTAAATGTTTTGTTAATTTCTATATGATTCCCTTTCTTTGCACCTATATTGTATGGTATTGTATTTTGTGAAGTACCTTGTGACTCTGGTTTCAAAAGGCACTTTAGAAATAAAGTTGTTCAATATTCTTATTATTCTTAGTTTCAATAATGTCAAATATATATTTTTAATCTAATTCATAAAAGCATACAAAATAAAGAACTGAAAAATGTTAAAACTCGATTGTAGAGGACATTTGTGTAGTATATGTCAATAACAAATAACACTGTATGTCTTGTGGTAGTGTAACCCCATCTCTACAGTATTTCTTTTATATGAAAAGAAATGTAATGTGTTTAGTGTAGGCAGGAGGAGTGAAGTCATGTTTAATGAAGTTTATACCTGCTACGATTGGTGCACCGTCAAGGATCACCGCTTTTAGTCACAAACACTGGGGCAGGGATGGAAAGAGTTTGTGTGTGTGTGTGTGTGTGCATGCTTGCATGTCCCACAGGCAAAATAACATTTTCAATTGCAGTCTTGAGTGTAGTCCCCAGTAGCTACATTATCTAATATGTATTTAGCACAGTTGAGTGGTGGCTGCTTTTCTGGGCCATGACTTCACAGGAGCAATGAATGTGTGCGGGTGTGTGTGTGTGCGTGTGTGTGTGTGCGTTTGTGTGTTGCACATTCTATTTTGCCTCTATATACCATGGCAGTTGCAAGAAAGAGAGAGTGTGTGAGAGAGAGAGAAATAGGAAGCGAGAATCTACAATATCCACTCTCCCAAGTCCCTTGGCCTGTAACCATAGCAACCCCATTCACAAAGAACACATGCCCCAGCAACCTTCACAAGATGCCACAAACCCAGTCACACAGTTTGGGTGTGACAGATAAAGACGGAGTTGAGGTGAGCGAACAGTTGTGGGGAAGTGGAATCTGTTGGATTACTCTGAGGAGGCTGCAGCACAGAAGTGACTGCTGTGTGACATCAAAGCTAGCATACAGTTGCTTCAATGGAGATTAGCTATGAGCGGCTAATCCATGCATTTGACATGCAAGCGACTCTGGTGATAGTTTGGAATTTTTTTCATGCACTAGATTAGGGGAAAAGCCTGTGCGAGTGCAGACAAAGAGATGACTGCAAGCAACAAGCATGCACACACGTAAACACACACATTCATGAGCCCCCCCCCCACACACACACAGACACAAAAAACATCCTAACCTGACACGCCGATTACATGCTTACATGTGCATGTAATATCTTGATAATGACATTTTTTGCAATGCACACAAAGCAATTTGTAAACAGATCATGTTTATTTATGCACATATTCTCTTTATCTTTATTTATTCATTTTCTGTATTATCTACAGTACCTTAAGTCATAATTATGAATGTGTCTTACTATCTTAAGTAGCCTACTCTTTTTTTGGTCTTATCTAAATCCTATTCTTCTCTGTTGTGATCTGTCCAATTTCCCTACAGTGATAATTACTATTCAATTTAGATTGGAAAAAAACATTGTTCCTTACTTTTTGAAGTAGCAGGGCTGCGGCCCAATGCTGACAGACACGTAGCTGCCAGCGTTGAGGTAGCTTCCCTCAATGGTGACCCGGGTGCCGCCAGAAATGGGCCCCTGAGATGGCTGGATACGGGTAAAAAATGGAGTCTGGAGAAGAATGAAAAAACATATATATATATATACAGAATATTAGAGAGGCATCATTTTGATATATTCAATAATAAAACATCAAGGAAAACAGCTTGTAAATAGTTTAAAAAACAATTCCATATTATTGCTTGATTATGATTCAGTCAATTATGTCATCTTGTTTTGATATGTAATTTCAATACACATAATTAGCATTGTAATTTTGAAAATAACAGAAAGCAGCAATGAGATGCCTATCATATGGTACAAAATGGAGATTTATGCAAAAAAGCCTAAATGATTTGACATAAAAATAAGTACAGTACAAAAGTAAGTGCAGTACAAACAACAAAATACTGTATATTACAGCCACATTGTGTCTTTCTTTATTAAAACTTAGCCCTTGTATGGTCCTTACCACAAAGGTGAACGGCCTGGGCGACAGGGCTCTGTAGTCGTTGACGCAGTCTCTCACACACACCTCAACCTGAGCTTCCTGGACCCTGTAGCTGGTAGCGTCGTTCAGCAGACACACAATTCTGTGGAAGGAAAGTTGAAGGGATTACTGCAGGTAAGGACCAAGTTAAGAAGTCAAGGTCAAATTGTTTTTGGTCTAGTCAGTCTTTTGTTTTTTTAATCTCAAAACTCCCTCCACTCAAAAACATGTTTTTCTTCTTGTTCCTACAGTGTGCTGTTTGAATGCTGTCTGTGCAGAGTTTGACTCTAGAAGGATGTTTTCACATTCATCTGCTGAAAGTGGAAAGTTTCTCTGAGCTCATTGAACATCTGATCTTAAGGGGCGGGGCGCATGAGTAACATCACAAATAGTCTGGAAGTCAGTCCAGTATGCAACTTGTACAGTATGATGTAGAAACTTGAAGCCACCCGTTCACATCCACTGAGAATGAACTTTACAATGTCCAGCTGGAAAACACAATTATTGCATATTCATAGATTCTGGAATATTTAATGAGGTTGAAGGAGTAGATACATTTATGAGGATTTTAATGTGGAAATTGTATATATGTTTTGTTTTTGTTTTTGTTGTTGTTGTTCACACATCAGACACACATGATTGTTCCAAGCAAACTAATTGTATATACATATTAAGACATGACTGGAGGGGATCTTTAAGTTTATAAAATTCTACTCTTTATTATCTTCAGTTGCAGGAATATGTAAATGACATCCAAAGTTAAAACATGCATCACAAAATCTCTGGCATCTTCTCAAATGCAGCTTCAAATTGATGGTTATTTTTCCAACATACCTCAAATTCACAGTGTGTTAATTAAGAGGTTTGCAAAATTGCAATACAATAATATCAGCAGCGAAGGCAATGAATTGACAAAGAAAGCACCATCACGTCCACATGCAGCCTCCCGATGAAGTAAATTGTAGGATAATACAGTTTTCACCTGCAGTCCCTGTAGTATGTGCTTTTTGAATCAGCAAGATGGAATGGGCATTCAATCACATGACCACAGTAGAGTTTGTACGCATTGTACACCAAAATGCCTGACACAATAGATCTCTAGAATCTGTGTTTCATGAGGGCTGACAGGGAGAATAAAAAAAATAGGAAGACTAGGTAGGAGAGGGGGAGAAATATATAAAATACGCCCCAGACATGTCTGCATTGGTGCAGGGACGTCAGGAATAATGCGTAAAATAACTCATGTGTGTGTAATATTTGAATAGAGATGCCCTCTATCTCAACATGCGTCATTTCCCAACTAACTGCACTACAGAGAGATTGTTTGATCTGCGTGAACTCGATTCCTCATCCGTGTAGGACCCTGCAGAGGAGTAAATGTCAGGATGGAGGATGAGAAAAATAAAGGAAAGAGCATATGTAGGGAGTAATGGAGAGGAACAACAGATGGAATTTACAGACACGCACACAAACACCCTGATGTCACTATCTTTTCAGCTGCTGGATGAGGCTGCATGGGCACCTACACACAAAAACTAAGTGTTCTGTGACATTTTTTTTCTGTCGCTTGATTGATCAGGATGAGAGAGGTGCTGGTTGGTGCTTCCTTTGGTGTGTGTGTCCTCAGGTGTGGGTTTGTGAGAGAGACAATTGCTGTCTGTGTCTGCAAATGCATTCATCTGTGTTTCTGCGCTTTGTGAGCTTACAGCAGTTTGTCTTTTTGTGCAGGTGGGTGTGTGTGTTTGGGAATGAGTGTGTGTGTGTGTGTGTTCTTGCAGGTGCATGATTATGTCGTCCGTTCCATAACGTACCTCTCTGCGCTCACATACTCCTCCTCAATGGGCACACAGGGCACCTTGCCCAGCCGGACGCCCATCTGGATGTCTCTGAACTGCAGACCGAGGTTCTCCCCAAGGATGGTTACCCTGGTTCCCCCTTGGCGAGGCCCCGTCTCAGGGAACAACTGGTAGCAACAAGAGGAAGGTGGTCAGAAGGGATGGAGGAGGAGAGAAGGAGATAGAAGAGCAGGAGAAGAGGAGTGCAGAAAGGGGACAAAAGAACGGGAAGAATGTTGTAATAATGAGACAATAGAGTCAATAGACATACATAAACACACACTATATAAGGACAAAATGTATCCACAGTTTCATTGCACATTCAACTTGTTTTAAAGTCTGAAAATAGTCCCCAAACATGACACAGCATAATAATACACAACATGACCCACACACACACACACACACACACACACACACACACACACACACACACACACACACACACACACACTATATCAGGTGATTCAAGTTTTAATGAAGAAAAATCACCCTCTTGGCTTTGAAAAACAATGAAAATGAGATAAAGAGAGGGCGAAAAAACAACTTCACTGACAAGCCCAAACCGGCATCATCTCGGGGGTTTAATTGAAACTTATTACGCCGGCTTGGCTTCATCGGCGGGGCCGCGGCAGTGTAACGCTCAGCCACGCCGCCGAACCATAATGTGATTTATCTAGCCAGATTATGGCGCGTAACGGGGACAGGTGTGGTGTGACAAAACAAATATGGTGACTGATGGACGGTGGCTGTCACAAACACGCACACATACACTGCAGCGCGGGCACGCACGCACAAACCTAATCCTTAACAAGCATCACAAGGTAATTATGTGTAATCTGTCCATTGCCCTGTTCTCCTGCAGTGCTTGGCTGAGCAGACAGCGCAGTGTGGAAATGCAAACTCAGGCGGCCGACAGTATGGAGGCATAGCACTATTATTATACCACAGACAGTACCAAACAACAGACCATGACAAATAGTGATTTCAGCAGTGTGGGCTAGTTAAGGGAATGAACGATTTGTCTTGCCAGACACATGAGATTTAAACTTTTATGCAGAGAAATTCAGCTGAGATCCAAACCCTTCTCTGTGCCCTGCTTCAGAAGCAAAGGCTACACCAGTGGAGCAGCTGGATGGTAAATGCCTTGCTCAAGGGCACCTCATTGGTAGTCACTGATAAAGGGAATAGCAAAACTCACTGACTCTCTCCACAAAACGGTAACCAGATGGTTCAGGGTTTTCATATGCTACCTTTAGTCTAACGCACCGGCAAACATATGGAGTATAATTTTACCCAGAAATAACAATTAAAGGGGGAAATGGAGAAAATTAAAAGAGAAAATTGGAATGGAAAATGGGAAAGTCTACATGAAAAACAATCAAAATGAAAGCTAAAAAGTAAGAAGTTAAATTGAATATGGCAGCGGGAAATGATAAAGGAAAAACTTATGTAATAAAAATGGAAATGGAAAATAATGAAAATTGAAAAGCTTAAATATAAATGTACAAATTAAAAAGCTTTGCCTGAAAGCCACGTAGTAACAAACTCAGTGAATCATATCAAAGATTACAAAAATGAAAGCCTCTATTAGCAGTAGTTCTGACTTTGGCAACTCCCACCAGTTGAGATTTTAACCAGGATCATCTCATATTCCTACAAACGAAAACATATGCCATCAGAATAATTTCTAAGATGCAGAAAAAAACGTCATATTGAAAATGTAATACATCAAGTACCAAATGATTCTTTTAAATGAACTAAACGTTTATCCTGGCAGCGAGCTATACCAAATAACAGCGCGCCAGACTGCCAGACAAACCATATTTTGGAAGCTCTTGCATATTAGGAGCAAAAACACAATACCTTTGGCAGCATCGTGCTACTACAGATATTACTGTGTATACACAAAGGCAAACCTTCACCAGTGTGTTTAAGAGAAATAGTTTAAAGTGTTATGTGTTGGTCTTTAAAACAAATACCTTACATGCCGCTACAAAATGATCTATAAAACAAAAAAGTAACTGGAGTGAACTTCAGACCAAGAGAGAGACAGAGCGAGAGCAGTCTGGCCGGGGATAATGCTGCCTACTATTTGGAAGCAGACTCACTTTGGAACCTCAGGCGCCAGTAGAGCCTCAGCACTTTGGTTCCACAAACACAATAGCTAGTAAACACTGACCAGAGCGAGTAGCCATCAAGCTCTAGGGTACGATATGGACAACAGATGTCAGGGTGTGGAAATGGGGCTTCAGATGGTTTTGGAAGAATGGAGCTATGATACCACAAAACACAGTATCAGCTAGCCACCAAGCCCTGGGATATAAACACTGGCAGAGCCACAGACAGAGAGGCAACAGAGAAAGAAGAGTGCTGTTAAAAGGGATTACCACCATCATCTGAGGGGGACACTAAAAAAGGGGCAGATGAGGACTATGGGAACATATACTATCATACTATAAACACACACAGCAGTCACCAGGCTGTGGCCAAAAATGTCTTAGGCACATTATGCACAGGCCTACATCCTACACATACTTTATGTTGGAACAGTTTTCGACTAGCGAGAGACATTTCAGAGAGAATTGTTGATTCCCTTGCAAGCAGGGGAGCAGCTTAAAATGCACATTATCATATTAACTGGCACACATTATCTGGTGATGTTTTGCCAGTATTTATACGGAGATCTGTTTGAATCCCTGAAAAAAACACAGCTTTTACATTTTTAAAGTTACAGTCAGGGTGGACCTACATCTGTCAGTCTTCCTAAGCCCCGCCCCTTTTTGCTTTGTGCTCCAATAACAGTTGAGCAAGCCTCAGTGAGAACCTCGGTCAACGTTCTCCTTTCCTGTGCTTGGATACGCTATGTGCTAGGCTCGTCTACATGTAAACACAACCACGTTTTGAAGATGATTAAAACATAAAAGCGACATGCAGTCACAGCTTTAGTTAGCAAGCTAATGTTAGCAATGCTTTCATAGTAGCAAGCTAATCTACATCAATTGTTTGCTACATCTGAGAGCTAAAGTTAACTAAATGTTAGTTAACTAGCTAACTAATTTACATCGATGTATGTGTATCTTAATGTGTATCTATCGCTATATCTATACACAGTTCTGACAACATGCTCAACTGTTATTGGAGGACAGTGCAAAAAGGGGCGGGAGATAGGAAGCCATTTGCAGAAGTGGCCCTGATCTGTAGTTCTGTAGCTTCATTAGCTTCATTAACGCTACAATACCACATACAAGACTAAAAAAATGAGTTTCCTGGTCCTGTATATTTTAGATGAAAGCTATACCAGCTGTTAGCATTAAATGCAGAGACACCGCATTCACTGATATTAAGACAATCATCTGAATTCTGTTATCTGACTAAACTATGCTTGGTGCTATGACCATCTGTCACTCCTCATCCATAGTTGTGAGAAGACAGGTGAGGTTGTGGTAGGGTGGCTGGGGCATATTTTGAGCCAACTGTCTCTTCCTGCATTCAGCAGTAGTATCATGATGGACCCCAAAAGTGAAACAGGAAATCTCAACATCCCTCAAAACCCTTTGAGGGAGGAAGCACTGAGGAGAACATGTAGTGCTGGGTGCAACTTGGCTAAACAACTGTAAGTAGGGCTGCCAACCAAACACAGAGGCCTTACATACTTCATGGAACAAGGAGGCTTAAGAAAGCAATAACACTGCCTCTAATAAACCCCATCATGATCTCTAGCTATGCATTTGAAACATGATCATTGTGGTACAGGAAATGGAGCCAGACCACTGCACCTCTTAGCTACCATGCCCAAAAAGACTGTAATGGTTGTGTAGCTTTATATTAGTTCTGTGTCATCTGAGAGCGGATTTCCATTGGAACCTCAGAAACTCTTGGAAGTATGAAAGTATGGCACCACATAACAAGATAACCAGTGCTCACTGAGCCTGTGGGCATGCAGGCAGACGCCACAGTGTGGAAATGGGACCTCAAGCAGCTTTGGACTCATGTTGCAGTGATTTGACACAACACTACCACATTCAAGCTCATAACCACCACTCTCTGGGGAACTTAAAGTACAGACGGCCTGAGGCTGAAAACGGACCTCAGGTTTTGGGAATATAGTGATCTGATACAAGATAACCATATTCAAGCACTATCAGAATCAGAATAAGAAATACTTTAATAAACCCAGGGGGAAATTACTTTAACTAACTAACTAACTAACTAACTAACAGACGCAACTGCAAAAGGATAAGACATATAATTCTTCCTCGTGAGCAGCAGGACCCAACTGACAAAATGACCACAAATTCTAGTGGATGCATTCTAGTATAAGACAATCTCTGCCTGCTACTAGCCACTAATCACCAAACCCCGGAGATGATCAACTAATAGCTTGAAGTTCAGACTGAATGGCAATTTTGTTAGTTCTCCACTATTCAGTCTAACACTGCATTCCTCGAGGGGAAGGATTTGATTTTGCTTTAACAAATCACTAAAGACTTACTGTGCGTATCCGGCTGCTCTGACGAAATTTTCAGTCAACACTGGGGCTACATTAGTCAGCGCAGTTAACATAGGTTAAGCAATTTTGAACTGTAATTAAAGAGTTCCCTTCACCAAGTCCATTGTTTTCAGCTGGAGAGAAGTTTGGCTTTATATTAATGTTGTGTACAGGGCCTGTTTTCCTAGTTCTTTTGAATACCGCTGACCAGGAATCCACTGGAGGTTAAGTACTGTGGTGTCGGTCTGTGGTGGTGTGGCCTTTATACTGCAGTCCTAACCACATAGTAGCCACATCAAATCATCAATATTATAGCAGTGGTTTCCTAGTAGTCTGTCATCCAGCCTGTACACACATTGTGTGTGTGCATATGTGTGTGTGTGTGTTCTGTAACACAGTAATCTGTGGTCTGAGCGGTAACCAATAGCACATGAGCCATGGAAGGCCAGCAGCTGTTAAAAAACCGGGAAAGTTGTTTATGTGGTCAGAAAATAGTTTGGGAATTCTGCTAAGGCATTCTAAGCAAACAGGGAGTACGGGAAATCCAATTTGCAATGGGACTTTTTTTCTTTCTTGGGAACACTCAAACAAATGATCTAGTTATTATTTTCAAATATTTGAAAAATCCGGAAAAGTGAATTGGGATATTGTTTTCCCTGGATTTTAGGTGTTTGGACACTGATGTTATTAAAGGATTCATGTTTTCAATAGGATCAACATGGCTGACACAGAGACCCTTCTACTGGTCTGCTCTAGCTTTTAGTTTGGGGTAACTGCCAGCAGTGGAATGTAACTAAGTACATTTACTCAAGTACTTTACTTAAGTACAAATTTGGGGTACTTGAGCTTTCCTTTTTTTTTATATATATTTTTTTGTGGGGGGATTATTATTGCCTTAAAATCGATAGTACAACTGAAAAGTGACAGGGAAGGGGGGAGAGAGGGGATGACATGCAGCAAAGGGTCGAGGGCAGAGTCAAACCCATTGCTGCTGCAGCAAAGACTATATGGAGCACCAGCTCTACCACTACGGGCACACCAAGCATTACCATATTTATGCAACTACATTTCAGCTGCAAATATACTTATCTCCAAATTTGGTGATTTTGAATTTGAATGTTTCTGTTAAACTGAGGGATTAAGTGTTCCTTTATGCATTGAGAAAATTCTCCTACTTCTTAAGCTAAATAAACTATTAAAAAAAAAACTCTTGGATTAACTGGAAAATGCATTGTCACTAAACAGAAGATTAGGCTGTTTTTCTTAGCTCATGAAAAGTTGACTTTTAGAGATATATGGTCCTCACAGGATAGCGTGAATATGATGCATTGCTGTAGATTAAAGAACCCAATAGTATAATAAAGTAGTTGAAATTAACTTAACCTTAAACCTCTACAGAAGTAACATGCAACATACAAATGTATGCAGCAGTAATATTAATCCATAAACATCATACACTGATAGGGACCATTTTACTGCACTATGACTTTTACGTACGTACTTACGTTTCCTAAGTAAGATTTTGAATCCAAAACTTTTACTTGTAGTGGAGCATTTTTTACAGTGTGGTATTTTACTTTACTACAGTAAAGGATCTGAATACTAACTACTACTATATACTAACTAACTAATACTAACATCACTAACTGCCAGCAATAGTGATCAACAAGAACACCTACTGCCTACAGGGCAGTCAGTACATATCAGGACACTGATACCACAGAGACTAATAAACCTAATTATGACCCAACCCTCCACTTAATGAGGTAGCTTAACCTTTGATGGTCTAACATGCAATTGGTGCTTTACGTCCAATCAATGGTCTGTTCACATCATCAGTTTTGATGGAGAAATGTACCCATCACATTATTACATAATCAGCATTGGATGGTGTACCTGAAAAATAACTGATGTACTTAATTGTACTGTAATTACTTTAATTAGCCTTTTCAAGTCAACAGAACGACTGTTAAGTGAATAGTACATGTATTGGTACTGAGTACGAAATTAATGGTAAATGAATTAAGAGAATAGAGACATCTCCTTGATATCAGCATGTCTTTTACTTTTTGCTTTCATAACTCTTTTGACATTTACTACTCCCAGTCTCACTCCACTTGTACTATTATCATAATATGAAAACACATCCCTCTTACTCTTCCCTCTCCTTCTCATGCCCTTGTGTTCCCACACCCAGACACATCCACTAACAGGTAACTACCTTTGTTCATACGTGTAGATACTGATTTTTTTCAATTTGCGAATGCGTGTTTAATGCATTCATTTACAAGCACATATCCACATGGATGGTCAATTTGTGAACGTACTCAACCACACTCCCAGACACACACACACACACACACACACACACACACACACACACACACACACACACACACACACACACACACACACACACACACACACACACACACACACACACACACAGCATTACAGTAGGTAGCAGCAGCAGAGCGGCACAACACATGTATATTTCAGCAGGTTTTAGTGGAAAATATCGGAGACTCTCACTAACAAGGACAGGACCAGTTGCGGAAGAAACAAACCAGACAAATCCTCCTCCCTGTGCCTTTTCTGTCTGCCTTCTCTATCATCACATTTACATCATTTTCTCATCCCCTTACTCATTAGACATCAGCAAACTCTTTTATCCAGACCATCTTAAGGCTTTAACATGACATTACATCACTGGTGTTTCCAGTTCTGTGAGGTCAAGAGTCGTAGTTAGGACACGTAAAGAAAGTCAGAATCACATTACCATGGTCCAAAAGTATTGTCTAAACCAATTACATGACGATGATTTAACTTGTATCAAGAGAGGAAAAAAAATCCAATATACTGAGATATGGTCAAAAGATTTATATAAAGTCTCCTTTCTCATGATATTTGGCTAATAACTGTAACACAGACAATTGAACAAGAGAAAATTGTATGTCTTGAGTAATTTAATCAAGAACTGACGCTTTAATGAGACTTACTGCTTTTAAAACAAATGAGAGCAGATAAGACCAAGTGGGAATATCTTGAAGTGACACCGATTACTCCATTAATATCAAGATAATCATCTCATTCATTAAATGTTCATTTGAGGTGAAATCAAGCACAAATATATCATCCTATTCACAGATTTTGGATCTGCTGTGGAAGAAGTTTCCTTTTTCTGATTAAGATTTTACAACAGCTGAGGACTGAGAAAAACTTACTTCTTCCAATAATACCAACTGAAAGCAAAGATAGAAAGAAAGGCAGGTATAGGAAAAGAATGACTCTGTCTGAAATCTGTCTGAGCAATGCTGGGTTTGGACCCTTTCTCTTGCCATCCAAACACATCAATACACAGACAGACAGTGAAAGACAAAACTGAACATACCTAAAAGACCGTTTAAAAAAAGAATCAAAACCAAACAAACCTCTACATGCCTCTGTCTCTGGAGTACCAGTTTGATGTAACAGTGAGTAATAATACCATTTCTGTGCCAAGGGCAGGCACAAGGTCCCAACATGGGAGCACATTAAAATAGAGCAGCTTTCATTCTCGGTTCAGGACACGTAGGGCTTTCGTGACCACAGGGGCTTCAAGAAAGAGAGCTGACGCAATGGCCTATCAAGGTTTACCAGCCTTGGATCTCCGCAGGTGACTTTACACTCTTCACGAGTTGAAGAGATTATGATGCGGTGCTCAAAGAAGCCGCACTGCTTTTCTGTGCAGGTGATTTTAGAACTGTAACATGGGAGGGAGTTTTGATTAGAAGAGTTTCTTTTTGTTGTTGCCGACTGTGGATGTTGGATGTTTTTTTTCTTTCCCACCAATGGTAATGCCTCTGTTGAGTAAAACTGTCTAGAATTAAGTTGGCTTCACTTCTCCGCCTCAAAATTATATTTGCATGGACGCAGTACAAACTTTATTGTGTGTGTTTGTCATTTTCAATGGTTACATACATTTCTTGCAGAAGTCATTAAAATTCTAAGCAAATACCAAGCCATTGCAAAGAAGTAGCAAAGCAGAGTGCTAAATGTTTATCACCTGCAAAAGTCTGTGGTTGATGCCAAGTGTCATCCACAGCCGAAGTGCCTGCCATGGTAGCCAGGTTTGGAAGAAGTGAGTGCAGCATCAAGGTTTGCATGTGTAATACGTAAAATGCTGTTTTTAGCAGGCTATAGATATTGAATATTTTTCCCAGTGAAGGTTTAAATTTCCAGTTATTTTCATTAGTAGTAGTAGTTCATAGAGAAAATAATTCTTAGTTGTGACACAGCATGTACTATTTATGCATTATTATTAATTATATAGAGTTATGGATCCTATTATAATGGTTTATGGCTATTTATAGCAATTTCTATTTGTATTAGTAAAGGTCTATGCAGAGCATCCAGAAATACCATACTAATAAAGTAAACTATGTCATGTTTTGATAAAAGGCTGATGTAAAACCAATAGTTATATAGAAATTAAAACATAACACAGAAAATTAAGGACTTTTTAATGGCACAATCTGTTATTTAAATATTAAACAAAAAACAATCCCCCCACATGGAAATTCTAAACACAGGACTAGAACCGGCTGCCACACTCCCAAATTGATTCATAAGTTGGACACTAGACAACAACTAAAGCAGTTTGTTTAAGTTTCTTCTTTTTTTGGATGGTGTTGTTTAGTAGCCAATGTAGGATCAAACTTCATGTTTGGAGCACTGGCTCACAAAAAAATGCTGTCTGTGTCATCTGGTTTCCTCTACTAACTTTTCTGTGATTTGGAACACACTCTGTCCTCTGAAGCCAGTACTCTTTTTTGTATCTACATAGCAACTGTTCCCCACTAACCAGTTTAAAATGCGATGAGGGAGTGCGTGTTTATATCATGTGTCGGATTTTGTTGCATTTGTGTGGGAGAGACTTTAAAATACCTTTAAATGTAAGTGTATGTAGGTCAAAATACGCAGCCAAATTCTGTATGTTTGAAAACCTACTTATAAAGAGTACAGAATAGTTCAGAAACCACTATCAGAGTGGTGTATGACATTCAGTCTCTCTCACATGCACATACCATATACCACACCAGACTATACCAGAACATTCTATATGACTCTATAAACACAGAAAATGACGCAGTACTCACACACGGCTACAAAGTGACTTTGTCAGTTCTCATCCACACAAGGAAAAAATACACATACACCCAAAAGTACATCAGCATACTCTCAAGTACATCTCACAGCCTCTTCAGTAAGCAGTGGGTGGTGTCACCTTCCATGTATGCTGCCATACCAAGAAACACTCATTTACCTTGGTGATCTTGGGGTGGGTGCAGCGGCTGTTCCCAGAGGTGGCGTGCATCCACCCTCCTCCGCCTTCGGCCAGCTGCAGCGGGAGGTGGGAATTCCCTCCACCGGTACACTCCTGCCTGAGGGAGCACTTCTTGTCCTGGACGCACCAACCGCATTCGAACCTGGGGTCGGCCTTCAGGCACATACCACAGCTGTCTCGCAACGCTCTGCACTTGTACAGGTGGGCTGGAGGGGAGACAGAGAGACAGATTTGAGGAGTTGTAGTCATAGAGCGTCACTGTGGGCTGTGTGCAGCTTGTCTTTTAAACTTAAATGTTCAGTGGTAATGTTGACTTATTACATGAATGAACACAAATGGCAGCGGCATTCATGTATGTATGCCCTTGGTATTTATGATGTTAGAAGATCAGCATGATTAGAATTTACGAGTTTGGATATTCACACATTTTACTCCGATGATATTCGCAAAGTACATTATCTGTGCCAGACACTGAATACTCACTCAACCCTAATACTAGCCTTCTCGTCTTATATATATTGTGAGTTTAATTTGTTAGCACCCAAAAAATAACTTAATATTCATTCTACCTTGTTAAATGATAGGAGCTATTGAGCTCATTTACCTCCCAGGAAGAAGCATAGTGATATTGAACAATTGAAGCCAACAGCTGTAGTCCTACATTATTCACAAATCTGTCACGTTCCAACAGTTTTTTCTTCCCTTTTCCAGGCTGCGGACATGGATTGAAGTACAGCTGCTTTATTTTGGAAACTTGGCCTTTTCTTATACTGCCTGACAAATATTTTTGATGAACAGAAAGTTGTGTAAGTTTGTTAATTTGGAACAGTGGCAACAGTAAAGTCAAAAAAGTAATCAGAAGTGTACCTATCTGTTAGCCTGAGAGAGAGAGAGAGAGAGAGAGAGAGAGAGAGAGAGAGAGAGAGAGAGAGAGGAGAGCGGGAACGGCATAAATGAATGTTAATCACCCGCGTTACACCTAAAACCTTCAGTAGGTGATTATTACCACTCGGAGGGTGCGGCGATGAGAAAATAACTGTTCCCGCAGATAAATAGAGAGAAAAAATATATTAATGAACAAGCGACCTACAGGGATATTACATAAATTAATTCGACAGGTAATGTCTTCTAACGCCAATAGGGAATTGATAATTTGTTGTGTAAAAAACCCTTTCCCTCAACTCTGCAGAGTGGAGAAAGTCATTAAAAGTAAAAAATGAATAAATAAATAGATAAATAAATAAATAATTAAATCCTCAAACACCTGAGAAGAGAAGAGGAGAGGGAGATGAAAGGAAGCGGGGAGGAGGGGGGAGGATAAATTTGAGCTGCGCTTGTTAACAAAACAGCAACAAGAATTGTTATGAATTTAAAGATGTTGAGGCCCCGCGAGAGCCAGAGAGAGTGAGAGAAATTAGGAGAGAGAGACAAAAAAAGAGACCCTAAACAGAAGAGAATCTGTGTGAGAAACAAGGAGAGCCAAACAGAGGAGAGAAAGTCAAAGACAAACGAGGAAGACATTTTTTGTTTTGTTAACATTTGTCATCTGTTAATCTTTAACATAATTATCTATCATTGATACTACAATGCCAAAACCTGCAGGCAGCTTTGTTTGCTGTCACACCAGTTAAACAGATTTGAAATGAACTGAAGTGGAAAAGCAGTGAGGAAAAAAAAAAAGCAACAGAGCATGGAGGAATCTCCTCCCCCTCCTCCTCCTCCGCAGACAGACGGCGGCCGGACTTCAAAGCGAGCCTCTTTCGTATCCATCTGCCCGCCTCGGCCCTCCGCTCGGCCTAATCTGATTAGCCACGGCTCAGCTTAAAAGTAGCGCGACGCTAATTAATCTGAACCAAATGAATGATTTAATTAACATTAACATCTCCACTTTACACCGGGGCAAAGCCGGGCCAGGGCCGAGCGGCTCTGCCACAGACGGATAATACAGCCCCGATTCAGAAAGAAAGAGACAGGGATGGAGCAGGGAGGGATTAATGAGGATGGAGAGAAAAAGGAGGAGAAAAGGAGGAGAAGGTCTTTATGAGATCTGTATGGGTGAGGACGGTTTTATAATGCATGTTTTTAAGGAGTTTCAGACCTTTAACACAGAGCGTTGCATTGAACTCATAATCCTAATAGGTTTTCTGTGAGCCTTTAGCACAAAAATCATAATATATCAAAGGGGAGTTGATAGGGTTGTTGATTCATACTAATTACTCATCTATAACCTAGCCACAGGTTTCAGAAGGTCTTTGTGATGAACACACCACTGGCCTTGGATGCTGCCTGCATAAACTCCCTGTAACCGAGCAAGTCAAGTAGCAGGAACGGCTTACTCTTAGTCATAACAACAGGAACACACTTGTCAAGTTTGCGCGCACACACACACACACACACACACACACACACGTCGCTAAGATCATTGGATTTCACACTCCCAAACTCTCAGAGCTCAACACCACTGCTGTCACATGCAAAGCCCGCACTGTGGCAAACATCCCTAGGGCCTGTTTCAAGAGTTAGCTGGATAACTGCGGTATAAAACCTCGTATCTGGAGGGTGGACTGATGTCAAAAGCCCTGTTATGACTTTTATTCAAAGACACTACTTATCTTGGATAAGTACAAAAAAAAAGTAAACAGTAGACTCTTCATAGTTTGCAAGAGTGCCCCAGAGTCCCCCAAACTCCTCACAGCTCACTGTTCTGAACTTGACAATGATCTGTTTATTTTCAAGATATCAACAGTGCGCTGTGAGGAAATGTGGGGATTTAGAGATGCTATACAACAGAAGCAGGGGTTGTATCTTTAGATAGTATGAACTTGCTGTATTTCAGTCACAACTCTAGTCTTAATACTTTGAATAACATCTTGTGAAATATCAGATAGTCAAGTTCATATAAGTTATAGACTACTTGATTCACCTTTATGTTAAGTGACTCCAAATTCCAGCAGTCCACAGGTCATGTGACAAGAATTAACCAGTCAGCTCCACAGGACTTGCTTCGCCTTGTCCATACAAGGACGCTACATCATTGGGTTGAAAGGTCAGCAAAACTGAAGATGGAGCAACTGATTATACTCATCCAGGACGTTTTGAAGGTCCACAATGAGAACTCTGGCGTTCTGGCATTGCAGGCATTTGGTCAACTAAAATATTTATTAACAAAGTCAATAGGATTCAAGAGTAGCAGAGCTGGAGATTAAGGAGAATAGGGGTCTGTACAAATTTCTATGACAATCCATCCAATAGTTTTGGAGACGGACTGACCAAACGACATTTCCGTCCATACAGCCACACCACTACCGCCTTTACTTTGGGAGCAGACTGAGACCTCAAGCAATCTCTGTCGGGTTGTTTGAAGTTTGAGATGGAATAACAATTTTCGCAGCAGCGTAAATGAACCAAACCAATGAAGTATGAAAGCACCCTTATTAATTTAACCGCACAAGGTCCTTACAATTTATTACCAAGGTATTTTAAAAGACAAAGTGCAACAGAGTTACAGAATTTGGCTTAACTAATTTAAACTAAAGTAATACCCCAAACCCGTTTTCCTCAACAAGCAACTAAAAGATTTCAATTTAATAAACAATAATAGCAGTATTAACACTAGTACTGTAAATATTTACTACTACTGTAGTTCATGAATGTTTCTGGATACAATGATCCATCTAACACATAAATGTCAAATTTGACTCCCTAAATAAATGCTGATACTAGCACTGGGTGCATTGCTTCAGTCAAGTATTTATCTGATTAGGAAAAGTCATCAAATCTATAGTTCAAAATTACAGCATCCACTTAATTGCACAGAATTGTGATTATTTATTTTGTCGTGGCAGCTACAATTCTTCTTCTTCTTCGCACATGCTAAACCACATGTTTAATCCCCAGGAAGAATCTTTCAGCACAGAAAGACTGAAACCCTAAAGAAGCATATTTTAAAACAAAATAACACAGGCAGAAGAATTAGGTCACGACCGATAAGCAACTAATTTCCAAGCAATCTGCAAAATGAACTGCATGTCTGACATTTATCAAAATGAGGTCAGATGGAACACAAAGGATGAGATTAAAACGTGCACGTGTGTCATCTAAAGATTGTAGTGAATAGTGAGTAGAATTGAAAAAAATAGAAGAGAGTGGAGTAGGAAGGGTTAGTTAATCTAACTCTAGACCTGCAAATTTGGTGCATAAGACTGTAAGACACACTTGAGAGCAAGACTTATATTATCTTGTGTAATGGGACGTCTAAAATTATTAGCCTCCACCACCCAATATATTACACTTGATAAAGAATTTAGAATTGGTAATTGTTTTCCACTTCATGCACAAATAGTGATTAAAAATAATAAATGACATCCCTACATGTCGCTTTCTGTTTTTCTTTATCAATCCTTTTGCTCTCATATACCCCCCCCCATTACACGGTGCATTTATCAACCTGTCATCCGCCCATCGTTCTTCTCCTTCATCCTTTCTTCTGCCTATTGGTTTTGCCATTTGTTTATCTTCCTCTCTAACATCCATCCCTATTAATTTCTGTGTTGGATGTTTGTTTGTTATCATCGTCATCCATCAATCACTCCCTGTGCCCCTCTTTTATCACCGAGACAAGAATAGTGTTTTTCCAAACGGATGGTACACTTTCACCTTTCCTCCCTGATGGCTGTCAGAAACGAAATTACAGATTTCTTATGAAGGGGAAAAACTGCACATGGCGTTGCTGCTTCACAGGCAGTCATTACAGACGGATAAACAACCAGGACTGATTCAAATTTTTTGCCAAGCAACAATGCCCCGCCATGCTCCACCAAAATGAGACTCGAGAATTGGGAAGGTTAGATGGAGAGGAGAAAACATTGTACCTTGGATGTTGAATGGGTTGTCAATGACAAAGATTCCATTCCACACGACGGAGAGGTCGACTGGTAGGTCACTGATGTCACTGCCCTCGTAGTCATACTGAGAAAGAGAGAAACAGAGTGTGTGAGAAACTGTTGATTTATAATAGATTCAATGCAAATTGGGAATTGTAGGAGATATTGTTTAATTTGCATAGTGATTCGCCCTGGCTTGTTCATTGCAGACAGCGATACAGCCCGAGCGTGCACACATGCATAAATCCATATTTACCAAAACAGACATATTTCATAAATACACATAGAGAAATAACAGATGGGTTACAGTTGAATGGGCATGGAAGAATGGAGACAGGAATGGGAAGTGAGGAGAGGAGATGAGGTGGGACGGAGGGAGGGAGAAAGGATGAGATGGGTGTCGAGAGGAAAATGGGGGAAAGGATGAAGGGAAGACGACGGAGCAGGAAAAGGAGGAGAAAGGGTCAGAGAGGTGAAAGCAGACTGAAATCGGACACTAGTGGACGTGTTAGAGGACCTTATTCATTTAGGCATGAGCTAAGTGGTGGGATGAGGGTAAGGGAGAGATAAGATGCGGAGCAGTGTAAAGTGAAATTGGCATTTCCAATTTGCTCCCTGACAAACTGGATTTGATAGAAGGGACTCGACCATCCCCTATGGCCAATGGGGCCTGAGACGCACACATACACTAACAGAGACACACTCTTATGATACAGTCAAAACTTTTCTCCACTAGTCATTCCCATGATTCAAATACCAAACATATCACAGGAATAAATAAGATCCATCCATCTAGGCAGTCGTTTGTTGGAAACTGCTTGGAAAAGGGCAGGCGCTTTCAAAAAATACCAGGCAGGTCATTGGTTGAACTATCTGTCTATCTATGTCTGTCACGGGGGAACCTCAATCCATCAGATCAACTAACCATATAGCGTCAAACTCGCGAAGAGCAAAAAGCTTTTCTCCATCAAGAAAACCCTTCAGTGACCTACTTTGCACTTCTTCAAATGAATACATACTCTCCAGTTCTGATATAACTGGAGCTAGCAGCATCTACACGAACCTCTGTAGCAGCCGCCGTTGTTCTTTTCAAGCAAACATTCACACACGCTGTTACACACACCTAGCATTAAACCACGCCTGTAGCTCGTGCTGTAGCTGCCAGTAGTTCATCATAGGATGCTGATTGGTCCGTTACCACTGTGGTTTGGATGGCAGAGATTCTTAAATAATTATGTTAAAAAAATCTGACTTACTTTAAGTCATCCTCGCCCATCTTGAAGTGCAGCATGCCCATAGTACTTTACATCACCTTCATTCATTTATTTAGCTTCTTATTTATATGGTATTTTTGCCTTTTATGCCTAACACAGATTCACAGACATTTGGAATCAGTAAAGCTGGTGCTAACAGACTAAAAGGACAGGGCTAATTATAAATAATGAGCTGCATGGGTTCTCCGTATACCAGCAAAATAGATAAGCTACTGATTACCAAAGCTAAACATTGTGTTAGTTCAGATCAGTAATGGTTTCTGTTCAGCTTTGAGAAATAAAAAGGATAAACAGAAGAAAAAGAAGAACCTAAACAAGAGGAAAAGGGAGACATTGTAAGCAGCCACAGAGGAAGGAATGTGGGAAGTCTGGATCGCTGTTGAGACAGTTAAGATGCTGAGGGGAACAGACCAGTGAAACCACAGGATTCTGGGAGGTCAGCAGCTCCAGAGCAGAGGGATTCAACCAAAACACTCTTTTGCCACAAAGGAAAGGCTGATTGGTCTTATTCCCTTCCCACTAGTTGAGTGTGACCCCGATCCATCACACATGAGGTAGGCTGTTGACTTTATTAGCATCACTATTACATCCCACTGTTTAAAGGCCTGTGTATGGCAGCTTCCAGTGCCAGTGAAACCACAGGACCCCCACACACACATGCCCACATAGTCCTCCTCCTCTCTCTGCGGCGTGGCCCCCATTAAACTTTAAGGGTTTCGACTTGTCTCCCGTCACCAAAACACTGGGTGAGCTTGTTCTCTTGTCAGTCCCTGCCCACCCTGCTGCCCGCCACATCATGCTTTATTCATACTGTCACATGGTTTCAAACGCCGACACAAACCGCACTGTGACACAGCGACACCGTGCCACACAGTCACGCTGAGCATCACCCACTGTCTAACTCTCCTCCTAGGGCACATTTCGGAGTAAAAGACGAGTTTTAGGTTTAAAACTGAAAACACAGTGAAGAGAAGGGAAAAGCTTCAGCGGAGGAGAAGCCGCACAAGGACACAGATGTAACATAAGAGGGATTTAAGGGAAGTAGACAATTTTAGCTAAGACCAGGCCGCCATTTTTTCTTTTAATTATAGGTGTCACATAGACCTTGCAAAGTAAAACTCTTCAGACATCAGCATGCTAACATAAACACAATGCTTACATTCTTATGTAATGTTTATCATGTTTAGTATTTTAGTTTTGTGTGTAAGCATGCAAACATTCGCTAATATGCACTAAACACAAGGTATAGCTGAGGCTAATGGGTTTTTGGACATAAGCTAAAATATATGACAAATGGAAATTTATTCTGATGATGGAGTGTGATGAATAGTCTGGGGACCATCAGTCTGGGGAAAGTTATAGTTAAAGTTCATCCTAAAAGGGGACATGAATGTGTGTACCAGATTTTATAGCAATCAGTCAAGACATTTCAGTCAAAACCAGAAATGTAAACTTCATTGTGGCGCCAAGTAGAGGAAAAGTAAGGGGGATCACCAAAGTCACTAGGCTACATCCTCTGGGGACCATGAATGTCTGTACCAAATGTCACAGCAATCCATCCAATAATTGACGAGATATTTCAATATGGACCAAAGTGGTGGACCAACCAAAGTTGCCATGCTGCTAGCATGACTAAAACTTTATGTAAAAAATAATAGAGCCACATCAGGAGAGCGGACACTTTAATAATTCATCACACTGGTGTTGTCAGTCACCAGTTATTACTCTGCTCTGACCTCTGAGATTCAAACTTCTTCTCTAATGAGATTTAGAACTATTAGTGGCATCTGATATTAAATGCAGGCTTTTTGCCATGACTTACAGTTCAATTTACAGAAACAATGCATCTACTTATCCACAGAAACACTTCCCATAAAGTTCTTCTCAACAATGCAGTGATACATTGTCTGGGGTCACTGTCATCGTCTATCATTTTATCCTCTCAGTGGAAGTATGCTCTGAGTTTTCTGATGGGCACAAGTCGAACTGAGACAGACATGCAGAGCTTTATTCCAAAATTAGACCATCACTTTTTGAAAATGACAGATGCTCTGACATCATGATTAAAACTGTGGCATGAAAGTACTAAATCTAATTATGGAACGCTGCTGAAGCCATCACTTCTACTTTCTTTACAAAAAATCCAACATTTTAGAGGTTCTGTGTTTGTTGGCTATCGAGTGGTGGGTATGCTAATACTAAAAAACATATTCGTTTCAAAACTTAAACTGCTACAGGATACAAGTTCATTTACTTAAAGGGATTTATCTCAGCCCAATCGCAGAATATTTCAGCTTGTTTTAAATGACTTATCATCAAATCTTATCCCATATACTCTCGACACTGTCAATCAGATCATGTCTGTTGTTCATTCTCAAGTTCAAGTGTGTAACAGTGAATATGATGTCTGAATATGACTGCAACTCCTGTATCTCTGGAGCTCTATAAGGAAACAAAGGACAGAAGCAGGGTTCAACAAGCAATGGGTTGTAATCTAACTGTAGCTAATGAGCGTGTATTTCCTAACATAATGTCAAACGTCTGATAATGTCAAACGTAAAAAATCATTCCAGAAATCCATTCTAGTTTCACCTCCCTGTTCCTTTGACTCATGGGCTTAAATAAATTGGCTACTTTACCTTAAATCACCTTCTAGGCTTACTGAAAAACAGTTTGCTGTTTTTTGTGTTTGTGATTTATTATCCATGCGTGTGTTTTCCACATTTTCTGCATTTAATTATGTTTTTGTCTCTCAGCCATCCCACTCTGGAATACCTCCTTGGCCTCCATGCAGGATTTCTTCCATACTAGGCATTCCTCTGGTCTACTGGTGATTAGATGTTTGGATTTTTGTCCTGCTGGCTCCTGCAGCTTGTTTGAATAATTGATTACAGATATGAACATATATGCGGTCAAGTAATTTGTCCTCAAGAAACTGATCTGTATTTTTCCTTGGGTACATTTTTTAAATTATTGAATTGAACAGCTATTGACAATCGGCATGTCACTGACTCTTGGCAAAGCTTTGATCTAAAAGTGGTGGTGCCAGTGCTGTTAAAAAACTGTATTGGTGGAACCCTGTAGGTACAAGTTGCTCTCCCCCTACTGAACGGCCTGTCTGCTGGCCTGCCGTCCTGACTTCCCTCCCCTGAGCACCCGGAGCTGCTGGAGATGAGTAATCAGACTCATTACTGAAGCCTCTGGCCAGCTCCTTCATGTCACTGCATGTAATTAATCTACCTGAGCCAACTCATAGTGTAGACCCCCCTAGGGAAGAGAGGATGGGAGAGGAGAGGAGAACAGGAAGTTAGGTGGAGGGAAGGACAGGAGAAAAAGGCGAGGATACGGTGAAGGAAAGTTGGGTGGATGCAAGTGGAGGACAGCTAAAGAGCAGATAAGGGGAAAGTGAGAGGAGTGGAATTAGGGAAGGAGGAGAGGAGATTAGAAGCAACTGAGGGCAAAGATGGAAAAGAGGAGAGGCACTGAAAGCTGGTAAGGGATGTCAACAAGAGGAAAGGGAGAACAGGGGGGGATAGAAAGTGGGAGAAAAGAGCAAATGGGACATAAAAGATAGAGGACAGTGGAAGGAAGAAGAGTTTTAACAGGGAGGAGATAAGGGAGGGGCCGAGGAGGGGCAATGCGAGGGGACAAGGGAGAGAGGGAGGGGAGGTGACAAGAGGAGAAAAAAAGGAGAGGGAGGAGGTGTAAAAACTACAAGGTGAGCACAAAGCCGTCCCTGGCCTCATTACTGTAACACACCAGCCTGGCGCGGGTTCATTCGTTATCTGCTCCTGCACTCGTTTATTCTCTC